GAACTAAATCTTTTTTCAACTGCTGGAGTTAAAGCAGTTGCACGCAATGGGGAGATGTTATTATGTGGGCATAAACTTGCGATAATGTCAGTTCAAAAGTGGGGAGATAAAACGGACTACTGACACACGAGACGATCTATGAAGCAGGGGGCATGGAGGCACTGCCTCAATTGCCCAGGGTCCATTGGATGATGGAAGGGGATGTGTGACAGGTACATCAGGCTGGCCAAAATCCAGCTGCGCACTTGCTGGAGCAGGCAATGTGGAATGAAGTACACAAAGCAATGAACGGATGTGGTTGTAGTCGGGGTCCTCTGAGAATGTGAGGGCGCACGTGTAAATAAGAATTGTTGCAAACTCGACAGGAATTCTGTGACATAAAACTTCAATAGTAGTGTTTACTTTACGCTCGAGTATGGAAGAGCTGGAAAGCTTCTCTTGGTCACTGGTTAACCAAGGAAGAGAGCCCTGCAAACAGTATATTAACATATATGTGAGTGACTCAAGATCATCACGACAACCCAGTTCAACTCCCAAATGATCGTTGATTGATGCAAACGCAGGAGTGCCGGTAAGACATTGACCTTGGCGAAATGGTATATGGACTCCAGTCGATGTATTCCAGAATTCCTTTGTGGTACCAAAATCGATAATGAAGGCGGTGTACTTCAAATCGCCAAGACCCACCACAACATTCTGTGGTTTGATATCACCATGGATATAGTTATGCGAGTGAATATATTCGAGACACAAGAACTGGGAAAAGGGGTTAGCGATCTGCACATACAATGACAACCCACACACCGACTGACCAGCTGGTCTCCTAGATTCACAACAGTGTCCAGGCTGAATTTTCGGTTGTGAGTGAGGAAGATATGGTGCAGTGATGGCCCAAGGAGGTTGAGGACCAGAGCGTGATATGTCGACTCCCTACTGAACCAAAGGGCATGGGGAATCCCAACACCACCCTCAAGGTTTTTCAAAACGCGGTATTCACGCTGCACAGAAGATGAGTGGTTGACGGGTTCAAGTTTGATGGCAACTGCATCATCCTTGATGATATTCCATGCACGATACACGACAGCTAAATGGGGTCCAAATGTTGAACATGTAGTCAGTAATATTGGAATGACATACCATATGAGCCAGACCCCAAAATGTCTCCCAGCCTAAATCTTCCATCAACTCGAATGGGGACCTTATCCATAGTGTATACAATAGCCTAAGTAGAAAAAAATGTGAATTCAACCAACTGAGAGTCTGAGAGGCAACAAGAAAAGCTCTGTGCCACCCAACCGCCGCATTTGCATTTCAGCCTGAACTGGTTTAAGCCAGCTTAGAGCAGTTCAAGCCGAGGTTCATACATTTTTGGTTGAAACTGATTCACATGGCCAACAAGTCGGACCAAGTCAGTAATCAGTGGCTTGGCTCAGAGTGATTGCCGAACTTCTTGCAAACCGGTGAATACCGAACCAGAGCGGACCATAGCCGAGCCATGGCACTACTACAGCTGCCTACTTTCTATGACAGTCAGCAAGATTTGAGCCGCATCACGGCTACTAAGTCACTATTACTACTGATGTTCAAGAAGTAATTATATAACCTTAATGATTCCAGATATGGACTCGGATATTTGCGCTGACATAATGAAGTGGAGCTCTAAACAATTACAACAATGACAACACAGACAAAAACTCTTATTCTTGATCTTCAATGATCTCCGGTTCCCTGCCTACATTAGATGTTGGGATTCAGGCTGTCTGGCCTTGCAGAAGCTTCTGCTTATGCATCTCACACCTATGCTGGCTCTAGTTTGTGGTTTAAAGCTGTCTGGCCCTACAGGAGCATCTGCTCCAGCCTATCACATTTAGGCAATGGTGTTCTGGCTCCGTTTTGTGGTTAAAGGCTGTCTGGCCCTGCAGGAGCATTTGCTCTGGCATGTTACAATAACATTTAACCCTACTTATTTTTCCTTTCTTGTAACCATAGCACCGACTCTAGACTCCTCTAGACTCAGCTATTCTCTTATCAAGCGGGCTGTCTGCACTTCCTTTCTTCTTGATTGTAACCTAACTACTATCATGTGCCGCATGGTTGTTTCACCTATTCTTGTTATCTTGATAGGTTGTACTATTTCCCTATCTTGTCACCTTTCTTGATGTGGCTGCGCCACTCCTTTGTACCTATATAAACCCCATGTACAACAGTAGTATTCTTTAACTTAATCTACTGGGTTTTCCCTTGAATCCTCTTCTATAAGGTCTCCACCCTTATAGTCTGATATCTGATTCTAAGACAGTCACTCACTGTCTTAGCCTGAACTCTTGATAGGCAGAAGTGCTAAAACCACTCGCCGCTGATTCTAGATAGAAGCCGCTGCGCTCGTCTAGTGAGAACCCTTGAACCAGAACCCTCCTTGTACTAGGAGGTCTAAAGAATTGTCAACAAGACTGGTCTATCTTTGACCATTGACAGAAGAACTATCCCAGTCGTAACATGGCATATCACATTTAGGCAATAGTTTTCTGGCTCCGTTTTGTGGTTAAAGGCCATCTGGCCCTGCAGGAGCATTTCCTCCAGTGTATCACATTTAGCCAATGGCATTCTGGTTCCATTTTGTGGTTGAAGGCTGTCTGGCCCTGCAGAAGCATCTGCTCCAGCCTATCACATTTAGGCAATGGCTTTCTAGGTCTGTTTTGTGGTTCAAGGCTGTCTGGCCCTGCTGGTCTCAATCAGATATTCATTAGAAGTCAGTACACATGCCTTATCCAATTTTACAAGTACATGGAATGGCCATCATTCATTCTTCATTCTCGTTTTGTGTTCAAATACATCTGCAGCCGGAATTCTCATAGCTTCTGATGTTTCTCTTCCTTGTGACATGAATAATTGTTACAAGAACATCTAGACGCTTGGGCCCCTACCATTTTTCTCCTCATCCTTCTGGTATCAGCCCTCGCATCATACCCTTACCCCAACCTCACCCTTGTTATCCTTGTCATCCTCGCATTTCCATTCGCCCTCTACCTGTCGCTTCAGCAGAGCCAGTACATCTGGCTGGATCCTTTCGCTGATGAAGCATACCCGTGCTCCGTTCCACCACCTGACTGATCCTGTAGACAGTCCCTTTGCCCTTACTGTCTGGACAGTAACCTATGATATGATGCACGACGCATCCCCTTTGCCCCTTTCCCTTTCTTGATCTCTGACTCAGTGCGCAGTCGCACATGTTACTTATATTTAGCTCCGCAGTTGCACGATCGTGCCCCTGCGTGTTTCACTTCTTATTCTGACCTCTGACTCACTTTCTTATCCGCACGTTCAGGATTCACCCGTGTCTCACCTCGAACGTGCCTTCCTTTTATGGTTATTCCCTTTACCGTTTACTTCTCTTGGTAGTACGAGTTATCATCCACTAATATGCTTCCTGTCCTCTATATAAACTCGCTACCATGTAACATATTCCCTAACTTGAATCTACTTGGTTCTTGACCTCCTACTCTCACCAGAGTAATCCTTTCTGCCTAGCCAGCAGTCTATATTCTATCTTCTTATCTGCTCTTCGCGGATAAGTCCTTAGTCTCGATCTTTACTCATCGACTTCGTCGACGAGCAAAGCCCCTGTTAACTAGTCGGACTTCCGTCCTTCTAATTAACGATGATCTTACGATTAACCTTCGGGTATCATAAGTCTTGGCAGATACAGCTCATCGTCTAGCATCTGCTTGACGTAAGCTACCCGATTCGGACATAGGAGTCAAATCTTACTTGCCGAAGCCTCGCCAAGTAAGACCCCTAACCTTGGGCTAGCCCAAGGACATCCTCGACCGTTGACGACACACGCTCTGTTTGAGCGTCGCCAACAGATACCATCCAAGTCGTAACAATAATTGATGAGAAGTTACATTCTATACCAGGATTTCAAGTATCTATCCTGCCAGCATGGTGTGTCCTGTCCTGCCAATGCATTTGTATGATGGAAAACTTTCTCTTTGTCTCAAAAAAAATAAAGTGAGAACTATTTCTGATCTGCATACTGTTCCTTTAGCATCCGAGCCACCACAAGGATGTACTGTGGTACTTTGCAAGTGCATTATTGCTTGAGGTGGTTGTAGAAATATCTTTTACAGTCTCAAGTGTCTTCACCAGTCCCACACATGCTCCAACAATTCTATGATGTCTTTACCTTTTGTAGAAACTTAAAGATCATATTTTACCATGATTGCCAGCAATGTTCTCGAGCAGCTGCTGACACTGCCGAAAAATGATGATGCTCATCATGAATTTCACATGCATGAGGCTGTGACTGGCTTGGAAACTATGTTTTATTCTTTTTTTTCCACCATCATGCCTTTTGAACAAAAAGTGTGTTCATTCATAAGTGGCAAGACACCATGAGTTCAGAACACCAAGTGCAATCACAACTTATCATTTTGAAGACTATCATCGTGCCATCCTGCTGCATCCAAAAGGCTCATGACCATGTGTCAGTGTTGTCAGTTATTGAACATGTGGTGACTTACATTATTTTCGACCCAATTTAGGATAGAACACACCGACTATTGTCTCCATACTATTGGCATCAGTAAGTCGCTGACTTTCCAATGCCATGAAGTTGTGGCAACATCCAGTTCAACCGCTTACATGTACTAAATCTTAGAGAATTTCAGTCATCCGAAATGTGAGGGACCATCCAAGCCTGAAGCCAATTATACCTCACAAGCTTCTCAAACCAATGTCCAAGGCCTTTGGATGATATTGAGCCTTTGCAAGATGATTTGAATTTACATAACACTGAGATTCCATCAGTTCAAAGTTTGACTTCACTTCCAGCCCTGTCTAGAATTCAATGGGTTCTTCTAATGCTGAGAAACACTCTCCAGAACACCTATAACTTGTTCGGACTCTGCTGACTATACCCTCGTCGGCCTTCCTTTGAGCCAGATTGATTTGTTCCATCCTCACTACTTGCAAAAACGTCTCTGACAGTTCTCCAAGACACTGACACTGATTCTCCACCAAAGATCTTTGCGCCACCTTACCCCTTCCATAATATGACTATATATCATCTGATGTCCTGGATGAATTCTGGTAACAACCTAGTTTCCAAAACAAAAATCTCGCACCTTGTCAAAAATGTCATACTAGTACAGGATTTTGACTGCCAGCACCTTGAGAACTTCTCTGTGAGGCAGAGTTTGCAAAAACTGAATAGAGACAAGGCTAGCAAAAAAATAGTCGTTCCCAATGACTGGATTCAGACTAGTGTCACTATCAACATTCCAACAAAGTCCAAGGAGGATGGCCCTCAGCCTTATACTGTCCCTGGATTCTATTATTGTCCCCTCGTCAACTTGAAAGTAATATGCATCGCATTCACAGATGTCCAAGCCAGAGTATTCCATTTCCTCGCTTTCAAATGTTTGTAGAAAGATCCTTTAGACGGTCATGAAGAGCGGATATTTGATGAACTCTACACCTCTGATGCCTGGCTGGAGGCTCAGAATGATCTTCACAAGCTCCCAAAAAAACCTGGATGTTCACTGGAATGCACCATTGCAGGGCTGATGCTCTTTTCTGATGCTACTCATCTGGTGAACTTTGGGACAGCGAAAGCTTGGCCATTATACATGTATTTTGGAAACCTGACAAAATACTCACGATCGCAACCACAATTGGGAGCATATCACCTTGTAGCATTCCTACCTTCAGTAAGTCAATAAATGCCACATGATTGTCTACCTGCTGATAATGTCAGCTTCCCGACAGTGTCAAAGATGTTTTAAGTAATCTATTTTGTATTTCTAAAACTGGCATGGCAACCCTTCATGCGCACTACCACAGGGAATTATTTCATGCATGCTGGGAAATCTTGTTGGACAAGGACTTTCTTCATGTGTATTGCCATGGTGTTATTTTAAAATGCGCTGATGGAGTGCTGCAAAGAGTCTTTCCTGAATATTTACATATTCAGCTGATTATCCTGAAAAGTACATTTTTTTGGACTGTTTAACAAGTTTGAATCACTCACCAATCCACAGGGTTTTGATTGCAACCATTAAGGATATGGGTTTGTGCCCCTGCCCTCACTGTTTTATGCTGAAAAGCTTCTTTAATTTCCTTGGGCTCACAAGGGACATGAAGAGTCAATTGGCCAATGCATGAGTATATATTATGGCAAAGGTTGTGAAAGCTTGCGAGTTCATCCACAGTGGAAGTACTATTGATGGTGTAAAGGTAGAACACAGTCTTGGAGAGGGCTCGTGGGTGCCCGTTGTGGTAAGCACAACTGCTTCCTTACAATTTTATATCTGACTACACTATCTGCTAACAGAATACATTTGTTGAGAAGCTCAGACCATTTGGACTCAACTCATTTCGCATGCTTGTTGTCGACTTCATGCATGAGTGCAAATTGGGTACCTGGAAAGCACTATTCTCACACCTTATCAGGCTGCTATATGTGATCCCTGGTGGTAGTCAACTTGTTGCAACCCTGGACCAAAGGTACAAGTAGTTCATATGGAGTATTGTTACCTGCTAACAAGTTCTCAACTCTCAATCTTACCATAGATTTCAACAAATCCCAATTGTCCAGAACACTTTTCTGCCTTTATATGTTACCTCTGGACCTGTTCCGAATCCATCATCTGACTCTCGTCTATTAGTTTTTGAACCTCCAGATCTGCTTCGCATATGCACTTAGGACTTTATATCAGCTATGTGTGATATTTCTGTTATCTCTGTCTCGCTTATTCCACTTACCTCCGTCCAAGAATGCTGTCCGACCTCTATATGCTAGTATTTGTACTCTGTCCTCATTTCCCAAGTTCTGTGACATCTATACTAATGTTTTACTACTACTGAAACATAGTTCTACACTCTGCTTACCAGTAGTACAGCACTTTCCAAAGAACTTATAAACCTGTAAAATACCTGTAGTACTTTAGTTAGATTATCAATTGCTACTCAATAACTAAGTTTCATCTCTTATCACAAATTTAAGTTCCCTAGGAGTTCTGTCTCCAAAGGACTAACCCACCTCCACTCCTACCCCTATTTTCAGATACTCCAGTGTAATGATGGTTGCAGCGCTGGGCTCGGAACCACCATTTTGGACACTTGTGTCAACACCCAAAACATATGCGCACATGTCTGAGCCACTCCACATCGGATCTGGCGCATCAGACCTTCGGACATTGCATTGGCTGATCACACTTTGTGCGCACTTGTCCATCCGTGTCCTGTCCTTCCAAACTAGCCCCACTAGGTGCATAGTTACTTCCATGCACATTTTCTGACATTCAGACCACATTATTACATGTCCACAGTGCCTCATGTTTTATTACCTAGATTCTCGGATCCAAAATATTGCTACTATCTTCGCCTATAGTATCCTGTATTTCTATATACTTACTTAAATACTCTGTAGTGACCCATAGTAATTATCATCCAGTAGTTAGGAGCTGTTTCCTGACTCTGCAGATTACCCAGAATATTCTCATAGTTCTTAGTTGCATTGTGAAATATTACTGTGTGTTCACCGTCATACTCCATCACTTGTTATACTCATGCACACCACTCACAATCCGACACTTGTTACATAGTTTCCGACCTATTTTCATGAAGTCCGAAAGTCCAAAATCTCAGACATCACACTTTGGCTTCAGACATCAGATAAGTACCCTCGGACATCTTTGGATTACCTTTGGACATTGTTTTACAGCATTTATCCAGCATCCTCATGCACACATAATTACAAATGTACATTCTACAAGCACATATACTATCATGTGAAGCAGCTTCAAGTCTGTTCATTGATATTGTGTTGTTCCCATGCACTACATATATATTATATTAAATTTAATGTTTGGAATAAAATCATCATCACTAAAACTCATGTCCTGGCTGTGCAACCACCTTGCAAACAACACAAGGAACATTACAATACATGGACAAGCTGCTCCTTGGACACACAACATACTCACCTCCCTACTGTTCCTTACTCAATGATTTCAACCTCCTCCTTCAAGTTCACACCAGCCCAAGACATTTGTTCCAGCCTCCAAAGCATTCATGAACAAGATGTACGTCCTCTGCTCAAGCATGGGCTCTGCCAGTGATGTCCCCTGGCCAGCTCTTGATTTGTTTCAAGTCTGAACTGACAAAATGATTACTCTACTAGATATCTTGTGGGAGACAAGTGGATGTACCAGCAAGGTGTTGACTTGAGACATCTGCGCCCCAAGTCATATGATGTAATACAAGCCATTCTCCTGGCTTCGAAGGATGTCAGGATAGAGACAGGGTGTTTATACCTACACCAAATTTCGTCAAGCAAAAATGTTCCAGGGAAAGCACTATTGGTATATTACCTTCGCTGTGACAGACCTTTGGGGATGCTTGCCAACCAGCATGCCCTGAGCCTACCACCTCGAGTAAAGACCCAAGCCTTTGAAGGAGGTGCTGCAGATGAATGACCCATGGTTCTGAGTTTCTTGAACACAATGTCAGTCATCTATGCACATTGTTGGTAGAAGTGGTGGTGCTTACTGTTTTATGTGTTGAAACCCATTTATTTAGAAATGTATATTTGTAATAGCAATGCAGGACCCTGAGCATTGTTGGATCTCACTTCTTCAAAGCAATGTGTTAATAGCGGCAAAAAGGCACACCACCACGACTCAGGATATGTGGCAGTTTATGCAATGGTATAACTACAACAGTTCCAGTTGGGAAAACAGAGTAAACCTGCTAGTGCAGCTCATTCATACCAACAAACTCTCAAAGGTATGCTTATACCATTCTCTCCGACAGCCCATGGACAGGGCAAAATGCTCCCCATGGTATCAACTAGAGTATCTAGTCCATCCCAAATCTAAAACATGAAGCTTCACCAGAACTAATAAAAACTCACCTTGAATTCCATGATCATAAAATCTTTACCAAGACACATCCTCAGGCCATCAATGAATGTCAGTGAAGTGCATGATTGACAGTATGGGGATGAGTGGCATTGGTGATATCCTTGGATTTCATGTGTGCAGACATTGTGACCCAAATATTGTTGATTGACGGACTCAGTATCTGTCGATGATTCCCTACCATGATGGTAAACTATGTTTGATCCCGAAGCTGTGCTGTGCAAAGAGTGCAGGAGCTGAAATAGTTCTGGGAGTCATATGGGGTAGATGCATAGTTCGTCCAATCTGCAGGTGACACTGGGTAGTGCATCACAATTTCCATTCAGACACTTGTTTCATAACAATGAGTAATCCCTACCGATGGTTGCTGAAGGGCAAACACTGTGGAGTTGACAGTCCAGTTCCTACAACAAGCAGGTGCATATCACTGCCAGCATGGCAGCAATGACAAAAATGGCTATAAATGACCAATAACTCCCAAACATCACCATGAACATGTCTACTAAGTACCATCACTGCACCATCTCCATCAAGTCTCTGGACAACCGACAACCGTATGTTCAGTTGAGCCCATTCAATGTCAGCTGGTAAATGTGGTGAAGAAGTCATGGGATCATGACATCTAGTTTTTATGAGTGAAAGATCATTACTGCTCTTGGTCATATGCTTGATCGACTGGAGCGGTTGAGTAGGATTGAACCTGCTAACATGTGCTGATATAATAAATAAACAATAACAGCTTGCAAAATTATTTGTAATAACAAATGATTTTACTCTCAAACGTTCACCCATGGTGACTCGCCAATTTATTGCTGAGACAGAGCGCCTCCCAGATCACAACCATGTGTTGCTCATAACGACTGGAAGCGTAGCATCTATCAAAGCTCCTCTCATCGTCTCAGCGCTTCTCCAAGTCTGTACCTCTCCCTGGAATCGTGCCCTCAGTGCTCATTTATGCAACGCAGTACCAAAACGTCAAAGTAGAGGTGGTCGCGACCAAGGAGTCGCTCGCATTTTATGACCCTGTAGATGTCGTCAAATCAGGCGCCCGCGTGTGGACTGATCAGGACGAGTGGTCGGTAAATACCCACGCTTTTCAGAAGAGCTCGGTCATCCTAACGTCCGTGACAGGGGTCATACAAGATTGGAGATCCGATCCTGCACATCGAGTTGAGGAGGTGGGCTGATATTGTTCTTGTCGCTCCCTGTTCGGCGAATACGCTCTCGAAAATTACACACGGACTCTGCGACAATCTCGCAGTATGTTTCCTAGCGCATTCATATCGTGCTTGATGGCAAACCGAGTCTTGCTTAGACTTCTCTGCTTCGTGCGCTGGCACCTACGACACCGACTTATGTATTCCCGGCGATGAACACGTTCATGTATGAGCATCCGCTCACGGCAGAACATTTGCGCGTCGTCCGGGACGTTGTGCGTTACCAAGTAGTCGGGCCAATCGGAAAAAATCTTGCATGTGGGGACATTGGTATGTAGTTCTGAGTTTTACTTTTTGTCGTTGCAAACAACTTGGCTCTTCTTCGAAGGACTCGGTGCCATGACGGAATGGCGCGACATCGTGAAGATAGTGGTGGATCAAATGGAGCTTGTTCGCAAAGACAACACTTCATGAAACTCTGCGAGTATTCTATGTCTAATATTTGATCTAATCTATAAAATTTCCTTCTTCTTTGCGAACACATGGATATGCGCTAGTCCACGAATGCTCTGTAGCCTCTGCAAATTGCTCAGTGTGTGATGCGGCGTAGTCAAAGGCTAGTTCACTCACTGGGGGATTGACAAACCATGCAGTCTCCCACTCGCCTTCCATCCACCTTCGTTTCACAAAACCATCTATTTCTCTTCCAGCATTCCTCACCATCTCTTGAATCTCTGGACTGCCCCTGGGGCTGCGCACTAAATTCACCATCGTGATTCCCCATTCCGCCAGGGCAGGCAGACATTCCGGTAGGGTGGATGGTGAGGGTGGAGGCTCGTCGTTGCCTGTAAACCCACACAGCCCATCTTGTTGAATCCGTGCATTTATTTCCGCCGGAATGAGATCTGGATGGAAGATAGGTACTCGTGACCAGATGAGCGTGTGTTCGATCTCGATAGGGACAGCGTAAGGCCAGTCGTTCTGAATGATACTGATAAATTCTGAATCGAATGGAATATCAGCTTTGAAATATTCGGGCGCGTCTGGGGGAAGCGGTAGGAGGGGCCGATTAGATTCGGATGATGATATGGATACGTTCTTAAGTATGGTATCGCTATCGAGTGCTGAGGGTAAGATGGAAAGGGTATCTGGCTTTCCCCATTGAAGACGGTGGTTGATAAGGTAGTTCTCTTCAGGCTGTTGAGCGATCTCTATATCCTGACTCCACATTACCCACCCAATGAGCCGTGCTCTTTTACAATCCCTGGAGACCATGCGTTATATCTCTTTTGTAGCGCTTTGTTACGCTTTAGCAGCCCGAGATCCCTTTTGGTGACGTTGCAGAGTCAGCATCGTCCATACTAGCAGTGAAATTCAAGTACCCGGAATTCACGAAGGTCTTGAGCTGGTGCCATGTGAACTTGGCTGGATAGTGCGCGAGCAGCTCTTCCCTTGTTGGAGGACCTGCTCGCAGGGAAACATTGTCTGGTGTATTCAGCTCTATGGTCATCGTCGTTGATGAATAACTCTGAAGGCAAGTGCCGCAAGTCCAAATGTTACCCTGATTAGGTCATGTGAAGTTTGAACATTTCTTTGACAAGCTTGACAATGTTGACATGCTTGACACTGTTGAGTTAACGTTGACAGCTGATACCGTGGATTTCGTAGTCATGTCGCCAACAGCGGCTGCGGAATTGGCTTATAGATAAACTTGAGTCTGATGTCGAATTCATCGCCACAATAATGAAGGTTTCTCAGATCGCTATACCTGACATCGCTATACCCAGCACTATCCTTCAGACAATCGTACGTTCGGTTGGCGCATTCAATGTCGCTTGTTCATTTGCAGCACTGTGGACTTTTGTCAAAGTAATAAGGGCACTTCGCTGGCGGTTCAGGACCACTCAGCTCCGTGGTCCACCTCGTACCAGCTTCGTATATGGCGTTTCGAACGACCTCGTCTCATCTAAAGACAGTGCTACAATCTATGAACATTGGGCCCAGGACTATGGGGTAGTCTATATGATTCCGTCAGTCCTCGGACAGACAAAAATCGTGCTAAGTGACCCAAGAGCCATCGCACATTTTTATGCCCGAGAATCATGGACCTACGTGCAGACGCCCCTTTCTCTGGCGTTGGTAGAGAACTTGGTATGTTAACGTCCTCTTCTGATGTCGTCCATTTCATATCTCTTGACAGGTCGGCAGAGGAGTACTATGGTCTCAGGGTGAAAGTCACAGGAGGTGGTGTCCATGTCTCGTACTCGTGCAAGAGACTGATCATATATCTGCGAATCAGGCAGCGGAAGGCCCTTACTCCGGCCTTTAGTAATGCCGCTATTCGGAAACTCACATCAGTGTTTTACGATTCAGCATATAAGGCAAGGATTCGCAGTCTAAGAAATCCAACAAATCTGATCTTGAAGCCCTACAGGTCAAGAGTGCATGGGATACCGATCTACAATCGAGCAAAGATGGGAATGCTGTCATTGAAGTTCAACATTGGTGTGTGGCTTTTCGACATGGAAACCTTGCACTCCTCATCAGAATAACTTCAAGGATGAATCATATCTCGTAAGGAATGGATATTTGCCATGCAAGCCCAAAATGACGCAACAGCAGTTTGGATACGATTGGCATCGCTGGTTTCTCCCATGATTTTGGCTCACTAGACGGAAAGCATGCCAGCGTCACGGAAATGTTTGATACTTTCAGCAACAACCCAAAGGCGTCAGCAGTGAACGAGGCCATTCTCCTGCTCGCATCGGTCTTTCCTGTCATTACCAAGATACCCGATCAGCGGATGAAGCTGAGGAATAATCTCAACGTCGCTATGGGTAACATATCCAATGACTTATTGCTTCGCAGTCGCCGGGAGAAGCATGTAAGTGTGAACCAGACAGAAGAAGAAAAATCTATCATCGGACTGTTAAGTACGCTCTCCAAGAAATTCATTGTGGTCCCTTGATTGACGCAATGATCACAGTCAAAGCTGAAGATCAGGATGCCGAGCTTCACATATCCGAGGAGGAAGTATTGGCTCAGGTCTGTGGAGACAATGTACCATAGCCATGATTTGCCGTTGATATCCTGCAGATGAAGGTCTTACTTGTCGCGGGTTACGAAACGACATCGAGTGAGTTGATTTCTTGTCTGCTGGCATCATACCAGCTGACTCTTCGTTGATAGTCAGTCTTACAGTATGTTTACTGCACTATTACGTCTGTGCACCCTATTAATGCGATGGTCAGTGGGCGCTGATCGAGTTATCGCGACACCCCGATGTCCAAACCAGACTCAGAGAGGAACTACTTACATTCGGTGCTGATCCGACATATGATCAATTAAAGGTCGACCTGCCATACCTGGATGCTGTCGTCCATGAAATTCTACGACTCCACCCTCCGGTGACTGAGTTCAATCGTGTTGTGAGTACGCGTCTCTGTATGTGCACAGAGACCCTGAAAGTAGATCTACAGGCACGTGTAGACGACGTGATTCCCTTGAGCGAACCTGTACGCACGCAGTCCGGGAAAATGACGAACAGTATATCCATTGCGAAGGGGTCCTTGATCGTGATCCCAATCAGGGCAATCAATCGCTCTTCGACCATATGGGGACCTGACGCAAAAGAATTCAAGCCTGACCGTTGGCTGACTGAAGATGGTATTAGTGGGAAGGCCAAGGAAGTCCAAGGTCATAGGCATCTACTGACGTTTGTTGATGGCCCGAGGACGTGTCTTGGAAAAGATTTTGCGATTGCGGAATTCAAGGTGATTGGTGCGAATCGACTAGTTTGGACGTTGCTCACTGTGATACAGACGGTTGTATCGGTTCTGGTGAAGAACTTCGTGTTTGAGATGCGGGATGGACCAGATACCCAGGTAGAAATTGCGAGAGGACTTTTGCCCCGTCCGCGGGTTGTTGGAGAGGACATCATCGGAGTACCTTTGAGAGTCCGTCGGTATGAATGATAGGATGCACTGCACTGGCAGATTTATGTAAATATTCTCTCACTTACTTGCGGCCTCAGCTCTTGACAAATTCTATTCAGATAGAATAGGCATGTAATAATATGTACTTTGTATCATGCTCGGGCAATCAGAGGTGCTCTGATTCTATTATCATACACTGGTAGTTGTGGAAGAAGCAGGGCGCTGTACAGGCGGGATTCAACCACATGACTCACCCACGCGTCTTGGGCTGCAGATTGGACCTGCAAGTTCAAAATTAAGCCAGCGGCACGTCGCGACTCGCGACAGTGAATCATTTTTCCGCTTTCGTTTTGGTATCATAATGTGAACTCTGTATAGCTCTACATCAGGTGTCAATGTTGGTGGTGAAGCTCGAGTCCTCCTACCAGAGCGTGTGCCCGCGGCTTCACTGCGATGCGTCGTCACGGACTCCTACTTTTCCTGGGGATTCGCAGCTCACCTCCTTGGGCAGATCTTCGATCGGGACCAGTCAACGCTGCGCGCTGTCACCCAAATATCTTAGTACTCGTACGTACCTTATCTTCCATAGCTCCGTCCTAAAATATTTGCTGTCCAAATTATTCTCGTTGCAGAGCGATTATAGCGACAACCCAGGATCTTTGTCAAGCGCGCATCAGCAAATCAAGGATATTAGACTGGACAACCTTAAACTGGACAGAGTCACAGACCCTCGGCAACAGCGTCAGCACGAACTGGTCGTCGTCATCAATGACCGATGGTAGTTTGTGTCTGTGTACATGCCTTGATCCTACTCTTTTTGACTACAAAGCCATTTCCACAGTGAATCGTGTAGGGAGGTTTAGTAACGCCATAAACTGTTCATAGATAGGGGCGAAAGTACCAAGCTTTTCATATTATTTGGTCATCGATGTACGCTGACCTGGAGAATGTGGCAGCGGGTATCGTATAAAATTCAGGCAGATGATGTGGCTGGTGTGTGCCAGCTGTAAGCACGTGATACTGAAAGCTCAACCTTTTGGTGTAAATGGTTATGCGCGGGCGGCGGCGGGATTCGGAATGAACACGTATTGAGACTCAGAGCTCAGAGCAAAAATGACTGCGAGATTCAACTAATTTAGCTAAGACCAACAGCACGCCCAACACATCTTGCTATCTTCCACAGGCGATGACCCATTTTTGCAGTTCAAAGAGTCCCTATCCATGATACATGGTAAATGGCAGACTCCGTGACTATTAGGATGTTTTGCTGCCACTGGGGTAAACACAGCACTGGTAGTGGCAAGGATTGTGAGATAAATAATTTGAATAAGCTTCATGGTATGATTGGTATCTGACATAACTGTGCATCAGCCTACGATATGATCTTGTGAGGAATCCACACACCGACAAAAGTCTGATTGTGCAATGTGCCTGAAGTTGCCACGACAAAGTCTTAGAAGAGCTATTATATGTCGGTTCAATGAGATGCGCATAGTGTGCCGAAAGAGGGCTACTCACTGCAACAGGAGGTGTTTGTGTCTGAGGCCTTGAAGTTCGACTCAATTCAACTGCGTTGACTTTATACCTGTTTTTGTTAGCGGTAAAACTATACTCAGGAAAAAATTTATACCGAGAAGACATGCAGTTCTATCGATGAAATCCATCTCTTTGGCAATCCACATATCGCAGGATGAGGTGCGCCTGGGTCACTGGCAAGTTGCTGATAGTAAAACCGAGCCAGACGGTTGTAGTGATCCACCAGGCAGAATGATGAGCCAATATAACACGTCCACTGCTGAACGTTCTTGTAGCGTGATCGTTTCTGAGCGAAGCGCAGAGACAGTGCTGGCTACCAAGCAACACTCTCAATGCAAGTTGTCACCGTCAGAAATGTGCCATGGCGTGACATACTACACGTGACACATCTGGGTCAACAATATTTTCGTAAAGTGCTCAATTGAATTATTTTGTTGAAGCCTTGGCATTCTGCACCAGCCAGTTTAGCAGAACTGGTTTTGCCTGCAAATGGAAGAACTCGATCAGCAGGAAATCAAAGTTATCAAACACAGTGCAAGAGTGTCCATCTGACAACTTAAAGGTGTTGCTTGGCCAGCACTGTCTCTGCGCTCCGCTCAGAAACGATCACGCTACAAGAACGTTCAGCAGTGGCCGTGTTATATTGGCTCATCATTCTTCCTGCTAGATCACTACAAGCGTCTGGCTCGGTTTAACTATCAACAACTCGCCAGTGGCCCGGGCGCACCTCATCCTGCGGTATGTGGATTGCCAAAGAGATGGATTTCATCAACGGACTCTTGCCGCATGTCTTCTCGGGATAAAACTTTCTCCGAGTATAGTTTCACCGCTAACGAGAACAGGTATAAAGTCAACACAGTTGAGTTGAGTCGAACTTCAAGGCCTCAGACACGAACACTTCCTGTTGCAGTGAGTAGTCTTCCGGCACACTATGCGCATCTCATTGAACCGACATATAATAGCTCTTCTAAGATTTTGTCGTGGCAACTTCAGGCACATTGCACAATCAGACTTTTGTCGGTGTGTGGATTCCTCACAAGGTCACATCGTAGGCTGATGCGCGTCAGACACCAATCATACCATGAAGCTCATTCAAATTATTTATCTCACAATCCTTGCCACTACCAGTGCTGTGTTTGCCGCGCATTTTCCATCCTGCCGCATGCCATGTGTCGAGAAGAATGCTTTGCATTAATATTGCACGTCACCCGAAGTTCCTGTCTATACTTTCCTCAAGTGTTGGAAGTGCTGTAGGCCCACCTAAATTAGTAGAATCTCGCGGATGGTTCTATGACACATTACATGCCTATTCAGAGCAGTAGCAGATCCGTTTTCTTTTAAATGCAGACGTAAAGCAGATGTGTGGATCCTCAGATACTGCGTCGGTTTAGGTGCTTGAAGGCAACGATCCTATCCTCAGGCTTACAATTCATAGTCAGTTTTACTTCTCAAACGAGGATCTGGACGGGTGTAATTATCATCGTTTTTCCTTGTCTGTTTACAGCCTCTAAACACGGTTCTAAATCTCTCTCGCAGTGAGTACTGGTGTATCTGGTTATTCAAACGTCTTCTCACAGCCGTCACATTTGTCTTGCTGTCAGATCGTCCAAACATCAGCTAGACATACATTACAGGGTACACCGCATTTCACATGTTTATAGCTGTTCATCATTGATAAAGCTTTCAGTATTCAGTACTAGGCTACCGGTAACCCCAGGAGAGAGTTTCGTTCTTCGTGCCGACTTTCTCAACATTTGTCTTGCCGACCTTTCTTGCGTAGTACATTGTAATATTAATGGGCGTGCTGCCAGTGGTTCAACGAAAACGCACCGCAATGATCCGCTTTGCGCTACTTCCATTTATATTGCTATACGCATATCATGATCGAGTTGCTGGATGTGACTTAGCTAAGCCTTACCTGTAGTTTATTCATCAAAAGCCTTGGATCCAAACAAACCATTTTCCAAGAACGTGTATCGACAACCAACATGAGAAACGCCCGTGGAAATGCCAGGGGACGTACGCGGGGGCAACCACATGCTCATGGAAGAGTGAATGCTTCTCTTCGAGTGAGAGATTCAAAAGGTACCACGCCTCACATCCAAATGGAACACATTGCATCAGTCAGCCGGAGTAGCGGACTCGAGCAAGGCGGGGATGCGTGAGACCAAATTCCTCGACTCATTCTTAGAGCTTACCTTCATCAGGTGCTAGCTTGAAGGATTCCAAGGTACAAGAGCAGTACAGAGTGTTTATGGGTGAGAAGGTGGGTGTGATTGATGACGATTAGCATCAGGCTCCATGAAGATCACAGCTACACAAATTCTGGACTGAGAAACAGACGAAGGATGGGCAGGAGAACATTCTAATTTTATTTCGTGAGTCCTACCTTCCTTGACCAAGAATTTATTCCAAACTTTGCTGGACAGGAAAGCTTAGAGAGGGAATCTTTGCGTCCAAACGGAGTGATGCCTTTGCAATTGAAGGTACGTTAATTTGATCTTGCATTGATTTTCTCATCATTTTGATATCCTGCAGTGTACGAAACCTCTCTTTGTCTCTCCTCGTTATTCGACTCCCCGATCCAGACATCTTCTATTCTCTCTCACCTCCTGCCCGAACTTTACACCTCTGCATCAATCCAGCCTCCGATCAGCTCGGTGCTTATATCACTCCTCCACCACCTAATCGCAGGATATCCATCTCAAAAAACCTATTTTGAACATCTGTCATGCCTCTCGCCCAACGTGCTCGATAGGACATCAGAAGCATATATATGGATATCAAATCTAGCAACGAGTCTCCGCACTCTTAACCATATCAGGGTTGAAGCGCTTTTACGGCACGATGTATACAGGCGTATCCTTTCTGTTTCCAAATCGTTTGACGAGACAAACGATGAGCTAGTCCGTCTGTCACAGGATGCGGTGCGCGCGCTCGTGGAACGGCTGAGAAGCAAAGCAAGGGATAAGGCATGGGTGGTACTGCGCAGTGCATACCGGGAGCTTTCAGCTTCAGAAGCGACTCAGACTTGGATGTCCAAATACCTACTGCTCTCAACCGAGCAGACGTCCGCATCAGGTCTTTCTGTGCAAGAGTGGATGGATGGACGGTGCCGAGACGGTCACCTTCGGCCGAAGGAAGGGGCAGTAGGAAGGTGGATCGTCTGTAAGGTCAGATAACTGCTACTACTTATATCGATGTTAATCTAGTGTACGATAGAATGGTTATGACCTTAGAGTATCCTAAGGAATCATCGGCGATGCATGCCGTTCATTTGGAGAATCCACCATTACCTCCAGCAGTCTGTATTGTCTGGGAAGTGATCGAATAGTAAGCCGTATCACTTTCTAGATCTGGAATCAAGTCTCTGATACATCACAGTCCGTATGCATCGGCACGGTGGTCACCATACCTCACTATAATGAAGAAGGGATGAACATCCGCCCTCTATTTCGTCTGCCTGGGGAGGCTAGACACATCACATCATGTAAGGCTGCTTTCCCCTACTACCCTTAACAACCATTAACAATTACGTGAACAGTCGACACGGCCGTGCACGGCATGAGGGAAACACTTCACTCCATGGCTGAGTTAGTGAGCCGCTTCGCCCGAAACGGATAGTATCGTGGCTTGCGTTTGTGCAATAATGGTACAGTGTGTTGTAATGGGTGAGAAAGTGAGTCTAATACATCATGCGTCTTCATGTTCCTCCATATCTGCGCACTGACGTGGCCTGGAATAGGCTGTATATGCTTCCTTCATTTACTCCAACGTCATCCCTGATGGACTTTTTGCGCCCATTAGTTTTTGCTTTTGGCACTGCTTCGTGCTCTGTCACCTCTCCTGCCCCACTGGTGAATTGCTTAGCAACGTGATATCTACTCTTGACGATCGCGGAGTACTGCGGTGTCGACACTGCCAAGCTTTTGTGTGCACGAGTTTATCCGAGTCCGTAACGATCAGATCTGGCCCAACGAACTGAATACCTCTCCTCAAAGGAGGACAGGAAGTCAAAAATTATTTCATTCTAGAACCTTTGGTGCATCAACATCAAATGGGAATTGGTTGAATTCCATCAGTATGTCCCAAAACATGCTGCTGTTAGCCGCGTCTTACGAGCATTCGTACATCCATTTTAGACGAGTTTAGCTGGTTTCGAAGCTTATGACACTGAAAACAAGCAATCTGGCATTGCAACAACGGTATTCACCTATGCCGGTACTAACTGATTAGATAGTAAGCCAGAGTTGCACTGGATAGATTTGATCTTGTTCATGAAATCTTGATTTTTTGCTTGTCAAATTTCACTTTGCAGGGCGAGTGGGCATGGAGTTATTTAAATTTAATTGTACACGAACTACGCGTAAGTGCGAAATGCTCAGTTGCATACGAGGAATGTATGTGGAAACATGCAACCGGCTAATGTACCAAGTTGTCTCGCCAGTGTGGGAGACTCAAATTTCTGGCAAGTTCGCATTAAATGCCTGGTGCCGCTCTCCGATATTGAAGTATTTAGTTTTGTAACCTGCTTGAGCCCTTCAGTAGTTCACGGACTGCCGAGTACCATTCTTCCATATAATATTGATGCGGTTACTATGATAGTACTACTATACGTAGTAGTAGGTGATGGCAGATGGCACAGCGCCACTGCTTGTTGGCCGGGACTGCCTCTTGCCAAGTTCTCAGCTCTTCGTATTGTTCTTTTTCATCATATACCTGGCACTACCACCTTTTCTGCATTGATAAATATCCTTAGCTAGTGTGTCCGAAGCCAGGCGCAGTACAACCATCAAGTCTGTGGACAATTTCCAGCCGCTCGTTTCACATGCCACGGCCTCAGCCTTTACTCTCCTTCGAAGTAGATACCTCTGGGCAAGACACGTCCCTCAAACATGACGATTTTGATTCAGAGTTCCGTAGAACTTGGTATCATTACCTACCACTGTGTTGTACGTCCTCGCGCCTCATGGTTTCTTTCGTTGACGCACTCAACATTCGCAGTTCTACTTTTCCTCATGGTGGCTCCCTATCCTTCGCTGCTCATTGTGCTCGCAAACCACTATCTTCTCACATTGAACAAGCCCATCACCGTCGTTATTCATTTCTTGATCACTTTTACCCTCGGCTTCCTCGCCTTTGCTTCCTTGATGGTTTGCGTGGCTCGTGATCCCGGTCCAGTATACTTCAATGCTTCCGACCAGGATCCTATCGAGAGTCAGCGTGAAGATATGGGCCTCGCGGAAGCTTTGATGACCATGGAGAATACTGACGACTGTGGTCCTGACAAGTTTTGTCGGAAATGTTGGGTACCTAAACCGGAGCGTGCTCACCATTGCAGCATCTGTGGACGCTGTGTTTTGAAGATGGGTGAGTTCATACATTTCAGGCAACTACGCTGCAAACTTACCATCCTAGATCATCACTGTCCTTGGCTTGGGGCTAAATGTATCGTGAGTGGTAGAGCAACCCTATGAAGTGCATGTGTAAAGGCTCGCTTGCAGGGATATAGAACATACCCAGCATTTGTTCACTTCTTGACTTGCATCACTGCCTTCTCCGCATATGTCGCTACTATATCTATATCTGCAGTTCGGTGGTCTTTCGAGAACCCACTTCTGGTTCCGGTAAGGAGTGTTGGATGCCCTTATTGAATTTCTGAAACTCATGATTTTCTACTGGCAGGACCAGTCTACCCCCGTTCATGAATTATTACTCGCCGCTGCTGGCGTGATTTTTACTTTGGTTGTTGGTTCCTTCTTAGTGTACCATATCTATCTCATCACGTAAGTCAAACGCATAACTTTGTGCTTATTATTCCGTGCGCTGATCGCAAAGTAGCACCAACCAGACTACTGTTGAAGCTCTCTCTCCATTCTTGTTGTTGAGATATATTCCTCCGCTACCGGTGTCCATGAAGCTGTCCGAACCTCCAATGGAGGAGGAGCTATCATACAACCAACGTAGAGCAGTCCGTGATGCACATAGGTTCGTGCGCATGTACGACGTCGGGTGGCGGAGAAACTGGGCGCAAGTTTTCGGATGGAGCAAGCCGCAAGGGTGGATTTATCTTCTTCTTATCGGTGGCGCTGTGTGAGTCGTTTTCATGTGCATTTCTCTGGCAAACTCAACGAGTGGATCCATGCAGGAATGGTGATGGGCGGTCATTTCCACGTAACCCACGCTCTCAGGAGATGCTGTCCCAGCTCGCGGCCCGCCTCGAGAAAGAGGCTTGAAATGGAATTATTTGGTGCCCCGGTATATATGATATATCAATTTATAAGTATGCTGCTTAATGTTATTGCAACCTGACATATTTGCGTGAGAACGGAAGGGATAGCGAGCAGACAAGGTAAACACACTAATAGTGATATGGGCAGAATCCTACAGAATTTCAGAGTGCTGAAGGGGATCACATACAGGGCGAAAGATGCCTTCTTCACTGCAACTGCCCTGGTGGCAAAGCCATTCAATCAATTCTTTGCTGTGACAATCCTCTCAATTGTGGGGCACGTATCGCCTGACATTGCTCTCGAAGAGTTGGAGTTCAGAACGTCAACGAAGAGGGAAAATGCTTTTGATTTTGACGAGTTGGATTGGAAGGAATGCTACTACAATAGCAGATCCTAAGTTGTTTGTATCAACTAAATTAGAACATGATACGCTGCACCTACACCAGTAACTGCTGCGTTAGGTCGTAGCGAGACAGTGAGAAAACTGTTGGGGCTAGAGAACGACGCTGTATCGAGTGACTACAACATGTCGGGAGACGACAAGGAGAGGATGGTCAACGACGCAGTCGGGACTATGATCCGAACAGCGAACGACGATGAAGGGTGAATACCAAACTCTGTCACACACCCTCAACCAAGACATCGTGAGGAAGATAGTAAGTACGTGAAATTAAAATAGCGTGAATAAACTACGAAACAGCGAGAAAGTGGACAACACCTGAGCAACTTCTCCAATAGGATTCTACACATGGTTGCCAGTTCGCCTATATGCGATGAAATGGTCTTGCTACGGTCCTCTGTACTTCGTGTGCAAATAGGCAATGGACACCCAACGACTGCAAACTATGACGGTGACAACGGTATGACCAACCGAATGGGGTGCTGTGCGCATGCATCGAGATAGAGATGCTGTCACAATGTAGCGTAATTGGGCAAAGAACTCACTGAGGGTTGTCCTATTCAAAAATCATCACCGACCACTTTGTTCAACAGCACAAAGTCCCAAATCCATCTAATCGTTATTTTTATGAACCAGAGCGTGGACTTGACAACTGATCTTCAAAGGTCTTTTGCATGGGTGCCTCCACTTGCTGGTGACTCGGACGATAAATTTCTCGCAGGTCCAGAGTCTATAAAATCACGCCGTAGCTTGCAAGAAGGTACTGGTGCAGTCCAAGATGTTTTCGGGGGTGGTATTCTTGATTGAAACGAGCTGGAGAAAGTTATGTAATCACGAACGCATAGATAAATTTTGTCATTTAAATTATTTCGAACAAAAAAACACTCAAAAATAATTTGGCCTATTTTAGTCTAGCGTTTCTTGCTACAACACATCTCGGAAGTCAAGGTTTCCTTTCAAGCCTTTAGCTGAAGTGCGTCACCGTTCTACTAGCTATCCTGCGCCTTACACCTTTCATTTTGAGTGTACCAGTATCCTTTCTGTGTATTTTCAAAACATGGAGATGAACTGCACGCCCGTGTACCATTCAAGTTGTGTGACGTGAATTCCGATAATGGTTTTAATTGAATAGGACCCTGTTGTCGCCCGTCTACCTGGCACATGGGATTTACTAACCGTGCAGCATGCTCACAGACTCGTTCAGAAGGTCTATAGCTACGTATTCCAATGGTCCATCATGATTGTTGCCGAACTTGAATTAGGTGCGATAGGGAAATTTTTCCGACGAAGGAGCATGGTTTACCGTCTTTTGTCCGTCAGCTCATGAGATTCTCTCATGGATCTTTACAGAGTCTAGTTCCAACCAGTTGGAGCAGGACAATGTCTTGCAAGCCTTTGATTGCTCCCCAAGACAAATATTATATAATCAACGCGATCACTTGAACCTCTAAGCCGATGCGACTTATAAAGGAGATAGCCCATGGAATCCTAGTTCTCCATATCTACAACGGTCACAGCACGATACCATGAACACTATTCAGATTGTCGATGTTCGGCCTCATGACAAGTCCTCAGCTTTCAGTCCTTCCGATGCTGTCAGTGACAGCCAGTCGCAGGAGGTCCTCAGAGGATTAATGGTTGCCACAAAAACCTTGCCCACCACCATTCTCTATGATGAGCGTGGCTTGAGGCTATACGACAGCATTACTACCAAGGCACCAGAGTATTATTTATTTGGTGCGGAGGAGCAAATTCTCCAAGACCACGCGGGTCAAATCGTGGATGTCATGCACCAGCATACTGGAGGTATTGTTTCGGGAGAGGTCGTACTCGAGCTCGGGGCTGGGTGAGTTTTTGGCCAGGTACTTTTGTCTGCTGTTGCGTCCCGCCTTTTCCGCTGCGGTCATAATATGTAACCCGGCCATAGCGCGCGTGACACTTTTGAATATGTTGTTCATACACTCAGCGCTGGAGCAACTGTTGATGATTTTTTTTTTCACCATAGCGCATTGCGCAAGACTTCTCACGTTTTACTGGCGCTGGCCAACCTGGTTCCTATCGCTCCGCCTGTTGCCCCTATAACATACTACGCACTTGATCTTGAGGAACGTGAACTCAAACGCACTTTGATGGAACTTCGCGAGTCTGCAGTTGGTTCTATGCTTGTCGGCAAGGTCGAGACGCAAGGCATGCTCGGAACATATGATGCCGGACTCAAATTCATTGAAGAAGGTGGCCTTCAACCTAACCTTCAAGCTGACGCTTTGCCACTCTCGTTGGGGTCTTACAAGCTCAACAGCACTCCACGAGACTTTTCTCTGGCCTCGACAGGATCTTCTTTTCCCGATTCGCCAGACACTGAGTTGACATCTCCGTCTACACCAGGTAATATCCAGACCCCCTTACATTTGCTCTTCCTCGGCTCCTCGCTAGGCAACTTCAAGCGCGGAGAAGACGCCAAGTTTTTGCGGGCGTTACCATTAGAACCTGGCAAGGATACCCTTCTTATCGGCTTGGATCATGATAATGATCGCACAGAGATTGAGCTGGCATACAATGACCCTCAGGGTCATACTCGGGATTTTATATTGAATGGACTGAAGGTTGCTGGGAGAGCACTCGGAGATGAGTCTTTGTTCGCGGAGCAAAATTGGGAATACATAAATACCTACAACGAATCCAAACGTAAGTACCTCTTATCAGCGTGATCGAAGACTGATCCAGATGGCCTTTGGATTAGGTTGTCATGAAGCATACTATAGATGCACTCATACGCATGACATTAACCCCCCGATGGCGCCCAAACCGATTCAATTTTTGGAGGGTGAGCTTATTAATATGGAAATCTCGCACAAAGTACGTTGCACTCCTTGAAAAAGGTAGGGAATAACTCACGCGCAACGAGCTCAGTATTCGGAATGTGATACATCCGTGCTATTCACTGAAGCCAAACTGCGGCCCATCCAGCGATGGACCGACAAGACGGGACGGTATTCACTTTGGCTCTTGGAACGTCCGCCATTCGTATTTCCATTACTCGACTCGCCGTTGGTGGTGCCTGGTCACATTTCTAAGTTCAGTATTCCCTCGATAGAAGACTGGAACGACATGTGGACTGCTTGGGATTTTGTCACACTGCGCATGACACCTCATGCGATGCTATTTCAGAAGCCGATTGATTTGAGACACATCTGTCTGTTTTATCTTGGTCACGTTCCAACCTTTCTCGACATTCATCTATCTCGTCTTCTTGACGAACCTCATACGGAACCTGAAGAATTCAAGGTCAGTTCAGTTCGAAAGAGATGACCAGCGGCTCATATCTCATCTGTAGCACATTTTCGAGGTACGAACCAACTGTATCCTAAGAAGAGGTACGGCTAATTTGGATTGTAGAGAGGAATCGATCCCAATGTTGACGACCCGACCCAATGCAACCATGTTTGCCTTATTTTTCCCGTTCGTTCATCTAGCCTAATCTTATCCCTAGCCTCATTCAGTGGTTCCCACAAAAGATGTCGATTGGCCTTCACTTCCTAGTATTTTGGCCTTCAAGAATCGTGTCAGGGAGCGCCTTAGGAAGGTTTATAGCGACATTGCTGAAGGCAAGATTTCCTTGACTAGGAAGGTGGCTCGCGTCCTGTTCATGACGTTAGAGCATGAAGGTTTGCATGTCGAGGTAACGTTGGCTATTGAGGAAGTTGGTTCGATATGCTGAGGTTGCGTCAAGACGCTCTTGTATATGCTACTTCAGCGCGCAGGGACAGGAACGATTCCTCCACCCGACTTTTCTCCTCCCCATTGGGAGTCTCTTGCAGCGCAGTGGCAAACAACACCCAAACCTGCTGTAGCAACTGTTGAAATAGGCCCTTCAATCATTACGCTTGGTATTGACGACATTGAAGCAGAGGACACCGATCCTGCGACACGTTGCGATGTCGTTGGTCATATCTTTGGGTGGGACAATGAAAGCCCAACTAGACAGGTCGAAGTCAAAGCATTCCGTATCGAGTGGCGGCCCGTAACGAATGGGGACTTTTATGTGTTTTACAAGGGTACCGGACAAGGTAGAGTCCAGTTCCCCGCAAATTGGGAGGATCACAATGGAAAAACATATGTAGGTCGTACTCATACTAGCTTCCGCGTTTAATCCAACACACCGCAGGTGCGGACATTATATGGTCCAGTCCCAATAGAGATCGCCTGGAACTGGCCAGTCCTTACTTGCTACGACAATCTTGCAGTGTATGCAAGTGTTAAGGGTGGACGCATCCCGACCGAACCGGAATTAAGACTTTTCCTCGACAAATTTTCTTCTGGGTATGAAGGGGGCGCCAATATCGGATTTAGGAACTGGCACCCTGTCCCGTACGTATACTCTCTCGTTAATGATTAGAGTGATAATCATTTTATAATCAGGGCTACTACCGGCGGAAGCAAGCACGGTGGGAAGGGACATAACGGAGGGGTGTGGGAATGGACTTCCACCATCCTTGACAAGTATGATGGTTTTGAACCATCGACTTTGTATCCGGGGTAAGTACGACGGGTTCTCGTATGACTAACTGACCAACATACTTCACTCAGGTATTCCGCTGATTTCTTCGATGGATCTCATAATGTGGTGGTATGTGTCTTGCTCAAGTTATTTTCCACATTCTCTCATTATATTTATCAGCTTGGAGGCTCATACGCGACCATTCCCCGTATTTCTGAAAGGAGGAGTGTGCGCAATTGGTACCAACGGAATTACCCCTACTGTTGGACTGGCGCAAGAATTGCTTACGATGTGTGAAGTACAGCCCACATGAATCCTGTTATAAACTCTTGGACACATTGATACCTGTCATGCTAGCTATAATATACATTGTCCTATCGTTCCAAATCCAATCAGGGCACTCCCTCGATTTTCAATACCTCCAAAAATGAAGCTGGCTCTGCATCTTCGTTAACCTTCACCAAAGTAGTCGCCACTTGCACATGCTCTCCCTCCTTTAAACGTTTATCATGCAGATAATTTTGAGCATACTGCAGCGCGAGTCTTCGTCGGGGCTCTGGGACGTCCTTCCCTAGCCAGGTGTAGACCGCTGGGAATGCATGGTCGTCCAAGATATAGACACCATCAGACTGAAGTGACGTCCTCTGTACAGCAACAGTGACGACCTGCCAGCCATTGACGTCTCCGATCAGTTGGTATAACGCCGGGGGATCGACAGGAGTCTCTAATGGTACGTCCACTACAGGAGAAGTGACTCCCGCTGCTTCAAGGAACTCTCCTTCTTCCGGAGTCCCCTCATCTGCACAATCGTCATCAATACGCACGGAATCACAGCGCAGCTGGTTGACGCACTCACCAAACACTTGAAATTTAGCTTGAGGAACCCTCCATTGTCCCAAGTACATCATATATTCAGCTGCTTTGTACCTCGCCCAGGCAGTGCTCTTCTTGGTGTTGAATTGCCAGTAGAGGGGACCTTTGTCGAGTACGTAGACGATCCCCTGGCGCATAACAAGCCCCTTGAGAGGTATTTCGCGCACTATAAGCTGTTTCCCGTCCTCTGATCGTGTCTTGAGCACCTTGTCACGCGTCGTGACCATCGTGTACATCTTCTTTGCATCTTCGGGCAACATAGTAAGGACACTATGAAATCCCGTCGATACGCCTCCATGCAAAATCATGAAGTGGGGAAAGTAGGATAAATATCGAGGGGATTCGTGGTTCTGGATTTCGCGGTATTGCGTCACGTTGCCTCCGAGGTCTGATGAAGGGTGCTCTGAGCATCCATTCGTGCTCGTATTATGTGTTAGGATGACGTACGTTCCTCGAGCTCAGCAGCCTTGAATGCAGCTGTGGCAGCTTGATCCACAGTCGTATATTCTCCGTGCCAAAAATGTAGATCATATCGAAGAGGGGAGTCCTTCTTGCCATCAGGCTGGTATGTCTGTATAAAAGAGAACGTTCAAGTTAGACCTCTTACGTCCGAATCCCGATCATCGCCACTCACATGCAAAACAATATACGAATCGCCATCATAGAAAGTCCCATATTTCTTATCATGCGCCACCCAGTCGCTACAATCGACGACCGCGAAGTTCTCTATCCTCCAGATTTGAAAACCAGGTTTGACACCAGCTTTCGCCCAAGCTGCTTCTTTGGCGCCAGCGTATTGGCGGACGCGTCTTTCGAGCTGTTGCAATCAAGCGTCATCGCGTCAACAAAGCGGTCCCGAAACTCACATCGGAGCCTAAAAGCGCAGTATTGGAATCCCTAACGTCGTACACAGGCATCATACGCAGAAACCGATATTCACGATGGCGGTAGGGTTAGAGGATGCTGCACCAGATAAAGGGAACACAGCATGCCGCACGTGTCTGCACTTAGCGCCGGAACAGCTTATTCTTCATTGCGAAATGGAAATATGCTGTGATGGAACAAGGCGCTTATCCACACTGCACTGCCATCGCCTGAACCGAATTATAGCGAGCTATCAGAAAGAGAGGTATCAAAGACATCGATCATCGTCTCATCTTCATCTTCTGAATCTTCTCCCCAACGTCTCACTGTAAACACATCTGCTTCTCCCTCTGCTCTCAGAATACTATCCATGTCAAGGATGAGAAAGTGGTCATGCCGAGACAACATCGGGACTTACTGATCAAAAAGTGAGATCGTCTCATTCTCCCCTTCATCATCATCGTCATGCAGTGTCGGATGTGGCCCAAAAAGTGCTCGTAGAAACGTTCTTTGGGCCGCTAGATCTTGGGGTTGAAGCGTCCTTACGGTCGATGAAGTAGGATGAAGATTTTGAACAGCAGGTGATGAAGGCGTAGGGCTATGAAGTATGATTTGGCGTTCGACGCCCGAAGTCACGACGTGTAGCAAGGACGGATGGATCGCGACAGAATTCACGATCGAATTATGCCCTTCAATTTATGGTCAGCGATGATACCCCTAAACTTAAGATGATTACCATTCAGTCTTGCTAATGGCGTCGATATTTCAAAAGGCACGTATCTACTCTCCCACTTGCCTTCCGCAAATGCTATTACTTGCACGTCAGGCATCATACCCGAATATATGACTGTACGTGCTCACCTATAGTATCCGGCCATTCACAAGCATACCAGTCATGAGAGGTGATCTCCTTCCTAAGCCCTTGCAAAGTCGTCAAAGGAGGAATCCTCCATACATAAGCCCTGAAATCATCAGACCCTGCACCATACATATCGTCTTCATCCATGCCAGGACCACCGAAAGCGCCCGACTAGACGCAGTGAGCTAAGGTGCAATCTTGATGCGAAGAAACGAGGTGGCATACTTTCATCGTACATGAATTGGTGTATGTTCGTTGGGATGGAGAGATGGGGGTTCCATCGGGGGCGTTGCGGCCTGTGCATATAGCTACGGGATGTGGATCTGACAGGGCATATATTGTCGGGAAATAGTGCTAGAGCATGTTGAGAGAAAACCCAGGACCGCGAGGGGGGAAGCTTACAAGGAACGTCACGGCTAATTTACTTCCTAGAGAGAGTATGAAGCAACACGCGCAACTCGTGGTTTAAAACCCACCATCGCGATCAAAAGTCAAACTGCTGCTCTCCGGATTACTAAGATAACCCGCCGACTTTCTCGACAGCTTCGTGTTATACTATTACTCGTTTCGTGAATCAATCACCATAGCAGCAGCAACAACAGAGACGAACATACCAGTCTCACGATCCCACCGTTCGACCGCCTTGACAACGGCCCAAAAGTCATCCTCGTATCCCGTAGACAAACCTGCCCATACACGTCGCAGGTCGCAAAAACATGTTCCATAACAGGATGATGTTGCACGCCTGTGAATGCAGCCGTATGTTGAAACGTCCCCTGCGCCGCGGTCATTCTGCCTCCAGCACGACCGTCGTGCAATACAAGTCTTCCATCTTCGCTGTGAGATGTCGATTCAGACTTGGATATGGGCGAGTTGGGGGATACAGGACGTACCTGACGCTGAAGAATATCTCGTCTTTATACGGATGACATGTAAGTGCTCGGACGCTATCCTATGCTCCCTGACGTCATTTCAAGTCTATGAAAAAGCGAGTGGGATGCTTACGTCGTGATCTCCGTACCGTTCAACGAAAGACGATGAAAAAGCGAGTGGGATGCTTACGTCGTGATCTCCGTGCCGTTCAACGAAAGACGATGAATCCCTCCCACCAATAGTACTACTACCAACCCCTCGCAATGTCGAAACATCATATTTCAAAATAACACTATCCGCTCCCCCACTACAACAGCTGATCAACGCAACACACCACGTAATAAGAATCCTCACCTGTACAAATACTGATTCGTAGCTGAAAAATCAAGCGCCAATACATTTCCCTATCCAACTCCGTAAGCACCAATGACGAAACCACACAAAAAAACTCACGCTAGGCCCAGCAAACGCATGCCCCGGATGCTCCACGTCCTCCTGACTAAAATCCCAAAGCAACACGCGGAAATCGTCTCCAGCGCTTGCGAGCCATCTGCCGTCGTGCCTCGAGAAGGCGAGGTAGTTGACGCATGATTCGTGGGCTGTCAGTTTCCTGTGGCGAGTGGCGTTAGATACTGTTATGAATCTGAGGTGGGCATGCGTGATTGAATGCTTAGGCTACGAAGATGATGAATATTGACATTAATGTGATGCGCGCGATGATAAATGTGATATGCGTATACATACGCACGAAGGACACGCGCAGCACCTGCACCGTCACGCAGATAGGGCATTCACACACCACACCACGACGAGATATACACATACCTAGAATACGAAAACCCACACTCACAGAAACGCCTCAACACATTGTTCCTCGCAACGTGGATAGATCGTGCAGTGAGCGATTCCGTCGGACAAAACCTGTTCAAAGTACGACGCATGTGCATGGTGATGCGTGTTCAAGTTCCTGTTCCTGTTCCTGTGCGTGTTCTCGTCGTTTCATCAAAATCAGGCGCGTCGGGAATCGAGGATTCATTAATATCAGTATTATGGGATTCCGGGTGTTGCGGGGCGAACGGGACGTTGTAGACGGGTCAATACTTAATGATGGTGGTTACTGGTTCCGTGGATGCGATAAGCAGTTTGCTTGAAGGTACTAAACATAGTACTATTGCACATTAGCACAAGCAGAAAGCACACAATGCTACATACACGGTATAGGGCAAGATACAACTACTATATAACAGTGCATTACGCACGTGCAATGAAAGAGGGAGGATTATTCGAGAGGACTACAGAACGAAAGAGCGACAGAAAAAAAAGGGAGGAAAGAAAATTACTCGAACACACTAGCTAAGATACTTCCTACACGTCAAGATAACCTGATCCTAGCCTATGTACGCATCTATCTATGACACCCTCGCGAGGGTCTTTCTATGTGGATGGGGTTTTTGAAAACATGAGAGGGGGATGATGGAAAACGGGGGGAATAAAATATTAAGTGGATCGATGTTGGGTGAACAGTGGTGTGGATTAGATTGTTTGCAGTGAGGAATCAACCAACGCGACGAGCACGAAACCAAGAAAAAATAGCAAACGAACCCAAAAGAAACGACAGAAAACAATAAGGGACAAAGGACATCACCTCCCAGACCTCGTAGCAGCCTCAAACTCCTTGAAACCCGGAAGCTCCACCTTCTCCCTCCTACCACCACCCGTTCTCATAAACGTCCCCTCCTCATCACTACTGCTCTCATCTTCATCCGTATCCATCGGAAGACCCTCCCCCTCTCCTTCCCTTTCTTTATCACCCGCACTCTCGCCCGCACCTAGATTCAAAGGCGGCAGAGTGATGGGCGGCGAATTACTCCTCGAACCAGGAACCGAACTCGACGCAAACATATTTGTCGTACTTCGAGTCTTGCTCTTCAAACCCATTCCCATACCCCCATTCATAGCCAAATGATTCGAGTTCGGCCAGCTCGTATTCCGGGGTGGGTGGCTAGCGTTAATGGGTGTCATTCCGAATGCCATCCGGACGGAATATGCGAGGTGGTGGTTTGTGTGGGAGTGGGGGGGCGAATTGGGTCTTGAACCACTCGGACTTGTAGTCATCGTACTGCTCTCAAACACTGGTTTAGAGCTGTACATCCCACCCCCCATCAATGGATACGTAGAGCTCCCAGGGCTGCTGCCACTACTACTCGGCCCACTTGAAAGTTGGGGTGTCGGGAGGTTATGTAAGGCTCGCTCAGAAGCTTGAGCTTGAGCAGCAAGAGAGAGTTGACCGGGGTATGTTCTTACATGTGGAATCGGTTCAAATGAACCTGAGCCTTGTTTTCGGGAAGCTGGGAAAAAAGCACCACGGGTCGGGGGACTGCTGACGATGCTGGAACGACGGGAACGTTGGTGGATAGGTTCGTCTATAGGGCTGATAGGTACATCCACGGGGGGTAGCGAGATGGGTGACGGGGCCCTTGATGGGTTGGTTGAATGAAGGTTGAGGGTCCGAAGTGGACCGAGGAATGGGCTTGTGCTTGGTGTGAAGGTGAATTCTGTAGCTTTGATGCCTGTTGGTGGGGAGAACTCTGCAGGGCCGGGGTATGCGGGACGAGATTGTGGATGTTGTGCGGCGACGTGGGTGTCGGAATCGGAACTCAAAGGAGAGGGAGAATCCTCATGTGTTACGAGATGCCGATAAGCTGGGGGATGAAGGGTCGAGTTCAGGGTGCGGGGTTTAAGAGCTTCGGGGTATGCTTGAAGTGCAGGGATGGAGCGGGGGTCCTGTGACATAGGAGTCATTTGCCATGCAGGGCCGCTCATTCTTCTTTTTGCTCGCATGAATTTGTTTGAAGATCTGACGTCTTCGTCTTCGTTCCAATCTCGGGTGCTTGAAGCACCAAAATAGCCGTCGGCAGTTGCGCCCTTTAGAGATATTGTGGAGTGAACGGGGGAATTGGAAGCGCTTTTTGATGAACGTCCGCGGAAGTAGATTGCTTCGGCGTTCCGGGCTTCGTACTCTGCACGGCGAAGGGCCTCTGCATGACGAGCCTCGTATTCTGCGCGACGGAGGGCCTCTTCTCGTTCGAGTGCGTAAAGCTCGTCCATTGCGAGACTGGAAAGAGTTGAAAAAGCGGAAGGATTTGATGAGATTGGGACATGGGTTTGTGAGCGTCTTGGGTGAGAAGGCTCATAAGAGGCAAGTGAAGTCGGACGGGCATACGATTCAGCCTAGAATCGTAGGTTATTTTTGTTGGATAAAAAAAGAGAAATGAGAGATACCTCGTCATCGCTATTTGCTCTACTTCTAGCCTTCTTCTTTACTCTGATAGAAGTTCCTTGAGGGTCTGAGCGAGGTAAGGAATGTAGGTTGATGCCTGGGCCGGTGTGGTCATCTATGATTGAGATATCTTGTTTTGCCTTTTGTTTACCTTTGGCATTTGAAGCACCAGACAAAGAATTGTCGTTGTTGTGAATGCGTGAATGTCTTGTGAGTTCGTCTGAGCGAGAGAAACGTTTCTCGCAAGATGGAAAAGTGCAGACAAAGGGTTTTTCGCCGGTATGAGTGCGAATGTGACGAGTCTATAAGATGTCGATCATATGAGATCAGCACGTTGTCTGCAGAGAATATAATAAACAAGAAAGGGATGATAGATTTACCTGGTGTTCTAGTCTACTGAAAGCACGACCGCAGAGAGGATAAGGACATTTGTAAGGACGGGGAGCGACTTTATCGTTGGATGGAGGTGATGGTAGTTGAGTCTCCATTGTGGTTAGGATGAAGAAGGAATGAAAAAATGAGGCAGAGTATAAGTAGGCGCTAGAGTATGTAATATGGGGGGTCGCTCGGAGTCCGGGGTAGAAGAGGCGTGTATTCAACGTGCAAGGGGTCCAACGTGGAAACGATAATAAAATAAAATAAATTATAAACTTTTTATTATATAATAATACCCCACCTTATCGTTATCTTACCCCGACTCATCATCCATCCGCCGACCCTTTATCGCTTTGCCACGTGCCTCCAAGTACATCCTTTTGCCGAGATCGCTCTCCCTCCTTGCTTGTACCGTTGTCGTATTGACACGATGCACCTGCACAACATCTCAAATTCATCCCAGCAAAGTTCCCGCAACAGCAGAGAACAATGTCTTAGGGTCTCGGTCTGTACACCGACGATAATCTCACACTCTGGTAACACTGACAACAACTCCACGGCTCCCTCCCTCGGCATTCATCCAAAGAACACGGCGCATCATTCCCAGGCTTCGAAGGCCTAGATTCTATCCCCGCGCGGAGCGAAATGAACGAACCACCTTGGATCCCTCAAAGGAGTCAGAGATTCCAAACTCCGGTTCAGTCTACAGCATCGACGACAACGCATCTGGGAAGGTACGAATCCACCTACGTAAGGCTCAATCCCGTCCAGCAAAAACCTCCATGCAATGCGCAAATAAGCCCCTCCACATGCAGAAGGCCCCCTTTCAAAGGACACAGAGACTCAACTCAAACTCAGATACAGGTTTCATAGACAATGTTGACAACCACGCATGTGGGAAATTTTGGGACTATCCCCTCATCCGCCTTGGCTCAAATTCCTCCCAGTAAAGATCTCCACGCAAAGAGCTACTCGCACACCATCCCAAAATTCGAATTGTATTTCATAGTACTGTACGGTATGATTCATTATCCCCACACAAACGGAAATGAATTTGCACCCCTTAAACCTGATCTACAGCGCAACATTGATGTTGACACTGATGACCACGGATTCTGGGAAAATACGAGACGCACGACACTCTACGTGCCGAAATCATTCCCCACGTGCCTAAAGGTTCTTTCTCATTCGCGAAAGGCTCTCCTCATATGCCTTGTCATCCCGCACCGACATACTTAGAAACTGACGCGTCTGGGAGTTCACGCGTTTCGCTTAGCACACACGTACTTCCCTTCACACCTTATCCGCTTCGTTTATCAGAACTCGCGACTAGGAGTGAGTCGTATGCTTTAGCATCTTTTGTATGCTGTGTGCTTTGTTCCATTCCGTTCTGTCACGTTATTGACGAGAGGACGTTGGTAGGAGACAACGAACATGCGAGCAAGTCGTGATCTACTTTGGAGGAGGAATTTGACATTAATATTGATGGGCTAGAGCCAGAACCAGAACCACGTTAATGAGGATGCTTCGTACCGTCCGGAGTAACATTATTGCAATCCTCGGCCTGTTTGGTATTTGCCAATGGCCTGCTTCTGAAATTCTGAACATCCAGATGTCAAAATATCGACCGTATGCGGGCTTCGGACAAGCTATGTAGGCTGCCACTGTTTCCAACAGCACTGCAAACCTATGGTTACAGTCATGCTCACGGCTCCACCATCATGCGCATTAATCCACAGATTTCATAACGCCACAGCGCCAGCAACCGATACGGCTTCTCGTCATGTCATGATCCGCGCGAAGAGGGAAATGGTGTCTTGAAGCCCTCAATGGAGATGGTGACTTAGATTTACAGCGTCACATTGACGACCACACGAACGGGAACGAGAACGTTTGCAAAAGACACCCAAGCACCGAAGGCTTTTAAGTCGTCTCGGAGTTATCAATGGAGAATCGACCGCACAAAGACAATCGCTGGGAACGTTCGGGAAGGACCCTCGACCCGTTAATTGCGCGGGGAGAGAAACGAAAAAGAAGTATCTTGGAGGCCTCCAAAGAGAATCGGCAACGTCGCCACGCATTTCGGAAAATACGGGACGTATTACGACCCACCGAACGGCGAAAGCTTCCTCAATACACTACTGTTTATTACACCGCGGGACGCCTCTAGGAGTTAAACACGCACGTTCGGTGGTTATGAAGCCCTTCGTACTGACCTTCATGTTCGTTGTTTAGACGACGAACATACATTCATGATACCTATCATTCTGGGCGAGTTTACAATCGCAATGTCATCATGATTATCATGAGTAGATTTCGAAATTCACCCTGTCGAGATCATTGAAATGCGCGCCCGCGCGCGTTGGAAGAAGCGATTTCATGCTCTATTTCATCACATATGGGTGAGACTACTTTCTGGCTATTCGTAACCTGTTTTATCCCAGTCCTCGTTTTTTTCATGCCTCTTCAAGAACTTTTATGATTTCGGAGCCGATGTCAGGGTGCCACAGCGTCAATGTGAATGCTATCACAGCGCAGTCCGGAAACCTTCTCGAATGACGAATGTCAAAATACCATGTGACTGCGCCACGAACTTGAAATTTTCTGATCGCCACATGTTCGTGGAGCCTGAGTCACAACGTTCACTAAACCCTGCCTCAAGTGCCACAAAACCAAGACCTAAAGTGCCAGCGATCGGGTATGCTTCGCCGAAACCTAGTAGGTCAAAACTTTCAATTGTGCGGGCATGCACTGCCGAAAACCTGTGCATACGACTGGTATCAAGCCGGCAGACTCCAGGTCGGGCTCATTGCGGTGCCATGGGGTGAAGCGGCATCTCCCTTAACTTAAGTTCCAAATTCTTCCTACCCCTGCCAGGCCCTTATCTACCCCAAACATTTGTCGGTGGGCGTAGCCTGGACATCCGATCAGGTTTTAGAAGGCGTAGATCTGGATCCAGAATGCGCCTGGACATAAGTTAAGTATGTTATGATAGCCCCACTTCAAAGTTCTAATTCTGAGACCGGGTCGAGTCGAGCCTGAACGCGGCCGCCGGTCCGTGTCGCTTTCGCAAACTAGATATGATCATATACATAATTAACATCAGTACCCATGCGTTGCAGTATCCCTTGCCCGTTCGACTCCTCCCAAAAGGGCTTTTAATATAAGTATGCTAACACGAATTAGTGCCGGTGGGTGGGTATACACGTATGCGTAGATCCCGAATTTTTGGGTATGGCCCAGCAAGGGTGTTGATGAGGTCCAGATTCTGTGCATCGATATGAAATCAGCTGTGTCACGTCATGTTTTCGATTTTTGATTCATGATGTCGAGGCAACTGGTTGCGAGGTATGACCGGGAAGGTAAGCGGTCCTGGGCGGACCGGCCGTATCATAGCTATCCGTTCAATATTAATGGGTTCTTTGGGAATGGGCACAGCGCACGGAAGAGGCAGTCGTCTAACCCGTGCAAGGCAAGGCGTAGGAACACTGCACCCTGAAAAACATTTAGAAGGCAAGCATGTATGTGTGCACCGCGGGCAGTACTTGCTTCCTGCATCCCATGCGCAGCACCAACACCACACTCTAGCTTGAAATGAAGAAGATTCCATCAGATTTCCCGGGGCATGGTCTTATCATGATGCCCATAATACGACTCCGTGTCAATCAAGTGACTGGATAGAACTGAATTGGGGGTCCAGAAAGATGACCGCCTGCCGGATGCAATTTTAAAAAGCGATAAGGACAAGGATGGCGTCGACATCAATGCATATGACGATTGCGATTATGAGTGCAATATAGTAATTTTTCATGTGATTATGATTATGACTTGATCGTGTAATCCAGAATCCAGAACCATAATAGATCAACGTCGTCTAGTTCTGGTCGTCTGGAATTTAGACGTCTCGCGACGCAACCGCCTACCCAGGTTAGTATGATTGAGTAGATAACAGGCACAGAAAGTAACACGTACCTGCTAGCTCTTTCTTTTTCAATTTCACGTCTCTCTACTTCTTCTGCCGTGAGCACCTCAAACCGTGTTCGGAATTCTTCTGCTTCTGTCCATTCACGCCACACGCTTTGGAGGACTTTTGGCCCTTTGGTGCGGCCCCAGCCCATGCCCAGCCCTGTTTTGTCTTTCATGCCTTCGGCTTCTTTGTCCCCGCCGATGACGCCCCATTCGATAGCATCTTTCTTGTGCTTTATAAGTTCTTCGTGGATCGCGTGAGATATGAGCGGTAGTGCCTCTCCTGACAACCCCAGCTCGGTACAGAGTTGCGAGGCAAATGCTTCAGGTGTCAGAGGCGAAAGCAAGTCCCACTCTATATGATCGAGTAAATGATGCGTCGCTATCTGCACGTCGATCTGTAAACGTCAATGAGGTAACTAGATTCAACATTATCAACCAGGAAAACAAGCGCACGCTTAGAATAACACGACACTCAGGAACCTCTTCGCTTGCAACATGCGGATCCAAGGACGACTCGATAACATTCTCTGCGCCGATATCCATGGAAGCGACGCCTTCGTGATCTTCGATCTGGGCACGAATTTGATTTGCAACTGTTTCTACCCATGGAACGGCGGGGAGGTCGAGGTCTGCGCAGAATACCTTGGCGAATAATTCGGGTTTGATGAGGGTCTCGTTCAAGTTCCAGACGAAGCAATCACGTATTCGGAGGGTGTCTGTTTCGAACTCGACACGAATAGGGACCAGTGAGGCACGTGTTTGTGCTTGTGTTTCAAGCATGTCAGGCGCGCTGGAGTATATGTGTGTACATTGAGGATACTACTGTAGTGGTGGTGGTACGCACGGATATTCATGTACTGTTGGAGCGACAGGTTTTGCTTTTATGAAGCGGCTTGGAGGTATCATGCCTAGGTAGCTCTGATCCAACTCTCCCTTGTCGTTCTGCATTGGTGTAGAACGCCGTTGTGGTTGTGGCTGGGGCGTGGACATACCACTACCTGAGTGAAAAACGGACATTCCAGTTCCCATTCTCCGCGTCCTCAAAGTCGTCCTCATGCCCCCATTACCGACAAAATCAGAGTCGTCAGATTCGATAGCACCAGCATCTGGGAACTCATCTCCTGAGCCTGGTTCTGCGTAGTTGATCATGCCTCCACGACGCGTGGAGGCTCTTGTGTTTCCGGCTGCTGCAGAGGGCTGGGTGAGTATGGGTTGGACGAGGAGGGTTGTTCCTGTGCGTAGGCGGGATGGATATGTGGAGTGGAGAGCTTGTGAGACGACGGGAAGTGGATGACGGGGTGGGTTTGGTGGGAGAGGAGGAGGAACCTGTACAGGTGCTACTGGTTGAGGAGGTGGTTGGTATATTGGAGTAGCGACGATCTGTTGTGTCAGAACTGGTTGTGCAGCACTAGTCTTTGCGGTGCGATGACGAGCACGGGTACTAGTCTTGTTCGGATTGGTTGTTGACCAAGTGTGAACATTTTTAAGGTAAGCTAAAACGAGTTTGTTAGTGAGCAATGTATGAGTTGGTGAAATGAACCTTTGGATGTTGATTGTTGGGGTGCGGGTGATACATAGTGCTGGAACTGGTTTGTAGGATTATTGGCTGCGTTTGAGAGCTGCGTTATAGTTTGTCGCAATTGTAAATCTGTTAGGTTCGTCATGTTCGTCGGGTAACTTGTCGAGGAAGACGCATCGGTCATCTTGACAGCTGACCGAGCCGTTGTTGACGTTGAGCAACTGTCAGAAGTTTATCAGGCTACCCATCCGCGGTGAAGGTGAGTGTCACGTGCGCTGTATCATAAGTCAAAATTCACACGACACAATTCAGCAACCTACGTTCGCCTGTAGCCTATATGTAGCTACGAGTAATCAATATACTAGCTGTCTACTAGTGGGTACATTGTTTTTCGTTTGGTTTGGCGACTTTGTATCAGTCGAGTGTACTTTTACCAGTGCTTCATGTCCGCAAACCGCTTCTGCCAGTGGTTTGTCTACCTCATGCTTGGCAAAGGTATGATTAAGAGGGAACATCGAAGAAACATCCTATGAGCCGAACCCATTAATTGATTGTACATTGCTCCAGATACGTATTAATATTTCAACGCTAATGTGCTAAAGATGTGTGTTTGTATCACACAGGCCACTGGCAGGCGGCGGGTCAAACAATTAAGCTCGTAAATCATAAATCGCAGAATCTCTACTCACTCAAGCGTGTTATATTGCAGACACCTGAGCCATGCAGATGACGACTCACAATTTGAATCACTACTCCCTACTAGTGATTTGCCCCTCCAAAAGGTATCCTTCAGTTCTACCATTTTAAAAAAGAGATACTCTCCAGTAACGCTTTTATGCCTAAGAAAGCCTGATCAATCCACCTAAACACTTACGTAGTGCCATTTCAAACTTATCCCAGTCAAAGCATCAGCTCATGACCGGCGTGTAGAACTGTATACACACCTATTCCGTTTAGCACCCAATGGTTCTCATCTGGGAAGATCAAAAGGCGGCTTGGGACGCCAACCTATATGCGTGTCAATCAGTATGAATCACCCGCTAGAAGCTAAGATAAATGGAAACGGAGAACCATTGGATACTAAACGGTGGGAATAGGTGACTTGTTCCCAGCGTTTAGTACCCAATGGTTCACATCTGGGAAGATCAAAAGGCGGCTTAGGACGCCCAACCTATATGCGTGTCGATCAGTATGAATCATCCACTAGAAGCTAAAATAAATGGAAGCAATAGGTGCAAGAGAACAGTATACGAAGAACCAGAACGAAAAATAAAACGTACTGTTGCAACGCACGAACACCGCAATCCCATCTCCTTCTGGGAGCCTGTAATCCTTGCTGCTATGAATTGTCAGCTGTGGGGTCGACCATTTAGTAACGGTATACGCGGGGCTGTATTTCCGCGAGGCTTCGAATGCGGCAGGATCCCATGGACGTCATCCCCATTCGTGATTGACCTGTGGTGTGTTAGTTGCTATTGGAATGCAGTGCTACTTATTGAGTTCGACAGGGAACGATTCGGACATGAGAGAATGAGTGGGGTTCGCTGAAGCTACAGAAAGTAAAGACCGACTTTTTATCTGAGTGAGTACAAAGGGAGTTCCATAAGTAGTACTTCGAACCGGTACAAAGGGAATTCCATAGCCGATGACCATGGCTAGCAGAGTGACATTCCTTACAGTAAGACAGGGACTGGAGGCGCACAAAGAATAGTTCGTCTGTGGCGTAGCTGTTATAGGTTGTGTCGAATACCTATTTTATGTAGATGGATCAGTGTCTTTATTTGAATCTTCATGTAACGTGTTAAAACACACTCCATGATCGTGGCAGACCAGTGCCTTGAACCCAAAGCCAAGCTCGGAGTTGCCTTAATCCAGCTGGAAACGAGAATTAGCATACAAGAAGATATCAAGGGCGAGAAGGAAATGACACGCACTTGATTGCATATCTGCCATAACGAGCACCAGCAGCTACTGTGGGTTTGGTCAATCTATATGCAGAAAAATCAGCGTCAGGAGGCGTCGAGTAGGAGGAAGACAAGGTGCAGGACCTCATCTCTGGGTATTCTTGAAGGATATACTTCCACCTAATTAACAAGTCTTGGATGGGATGGCCTCCCTAGTTTTTATTGATACCATCTGTGAATTCTAGTATAATGCGTTAGCACAAGAGCAGACAAGAGAGGAGGGTAACTTACTCTGTCAAAATGAAGTAGATCCCGTTGGATTGATAGCAACAACTACATATCCTGACTCGCAAAGAAGGAGCCAGACCCTAAATTTTCGATACCACACCGCAATAGAGGAGGTACGAATCTACAATACTCTAGATTGGTGGAAGATAACAAGTGTCAAGAAGTGGTTGACGAGCTACATGCAGATTACCCACTGAGAACTTTTCACGTGAGCCATGTAACTATAATCCCAGTCGGAACCATGAAAACTCTCGGCGTCAACGCTCAGCACGTGTTCGTTATGGTTGCAGCCGCCCAACCGACTTGCTGTGTACCACCACTCTGCTCTGTCCGCTCACCTCAGACAGACCCTTTCGTTTAAGATCCAATACAGTAGCCTGGTTGTAACTTCCTCATGTCACAAGCATCAGACACCGGCAGCGCCGAGGATCAGCACGCCCACAACAACTCGGCTAAGCGGCCTTCCCTAGAGAACGACAACGTAGGACCTCCAGAACAGTGAGTTGTAGTGTCCTGGAGTCTGCCTGCCATCTGATAGAGAGATAGGGAGAAAAATTGTGAGCTTTCGGCGGAGCTGCCAACGGGGATGTAAGTGTTTCTGCCCTGATGCTTCTGTTTCGCTCCTCACCAGAACTGCAGCTTCAATGCTGGACCTTCACAGCCGTCGGGACCTCATGTACAGGAAAACACTCTCAATTTTGCACTGGTCGGCGATTTACCTCCGTAAGTTCTCATCAATAATGATATCAAACTCTTCAATTGTCTCAGCGAGGCAGCGAAGATCGTGGCCGATAAAGAAGAACCCACGCTTAGCGAATTGTGAGTGAAAAATAAGCAGAGCAATCACAACTGACCACATCCTACACGCAGAGCAAATGTCATGAAACAAGTATTAAATGTTCTCCAGGACTCGACGATTGCGTTGAAAAGTGGCAAGGACAATCGGTCTCGTTTCTGGGGGGTGTACAAACGAGTCGCGGAGGAACACGACGGTGAGTTCCTCGAGCGATACACTACGGATATGGACATTGTCTTGATCTTCGTAAGTTTAGCGTGCTTATCTTTGACGCATTTTGATATTGGCTTTGGATCAGTCTGGTCTTTTCTCCGCTGTCAGCACGTCTTTCATTGTTGCGATGGAGTCCAATCTCAGTCCCGACCCCAGCGATACTACGAATGCCCTTTTGAAGCAACTTGTTCAAATCGGACTCGGCAATCTCGCTGCGGCGGGCTCCACGCCCGCAGAGCCAGCGTCTACGTGGTCTCTGAGCCTGCCGACCTTATGGATCCAATCTATCGCATACGCAAGCTTGTCCATGAGCTTGCTCGCTGCATTTGGGGCCGTACTAGGCAAGCAGTGGCTTGGGTACTACAAGTCGAACAGATATGGCCGCGGCTCTCAGGAGGAACGAGGCAAGCGCAGGCAAGAGAAATTCGACGGCCTCGTCACATGGTATTTTGATGCTGTCGTGCAATCCTTTCCGATCTTACTTCAAATCTCACTTTTTCTCTTTGGCATCGCCCTCAGCGCCCATATCTGGTACGAGTAGCCAAGCGTCGCCTGGGTCATCATTGCAACGACGATCTTTGGATTTTTGTTTTATTCCCTGACTGTGATGGCATGTTTGATATCTCCCGCTTGTCCATTCCATACACCGATATCGACGATGTTGCGCATATTTCACATCGACAGTAAAATCATTTCACTGAATTCTGGTAGTGTTTTACCTGTCTGAATCAACATTGCAGAGCTTCTACGCCCGGTGTTCAAACGAGTCTCCAGTTATTTCCAGCAGCTCACGATATTACTGCACGGTGAGTTATGTTTTCTTCCATGTGCACAGGTTTTGACCGTTTCATGTCAGGCGGGCTGGAGCGTTTGCTTGGTATCATCAAATCAAAATGGGCCCGATTGTCTGAAGTGTTTAGAGGTGGTGATTTTATATACTATTACAAATATACTAGTGTTCATTTCACTACCCAGGTCCTGTACATATGGCCGGCACATTCGCACGACGATCTCTTCAGCAGTCAATCACCACACTTCATAACTGGCTGCCTTTTGTTGTTCCGCGCGTTTCGACAACAATCGTGGACTCAGAAGCACAAGCGTTCGACCAGAATTTGAATGTTTTGTCGGAGAATGAATACGCCCTCACACTCTCTGACATACCCACTAGCAATCTCGAAGCACCTAGCGTTAAGTGGCTGCTCGAGACCTCTACGGATCCTGAAGTGATTCTCGCCGCTGCCAGCCTTGTTCCACAGGTCGAATGGCCCCTGGATCTTGATGCCTCAGACATGCTGCCTCAGCTGTATGATACTTTCACAAGCTGCGTCGACTTCCATGGGAAAATTATATCGTCGTTGGAGGAGAAAGCCTCAGCTTGCATCATGGCTATGAGTCACCTATATCATGGCCGTGTTCTTCAGGCATATCCTGGCCATGGCGAATTTCTTGGTCGCGGGAGAAGAGACTACGACTACGATGCGTTATTCCGGATGAGACGGAGTTACATGAGTGAAGCCAACTATACGGTGCTTACCACCACTATGAATCTCTATCTTCCAGAAAATGATGATAGACGTTTGTGGTATTCGTTGTATGATTGTCCGGACTCCGTCACGGAGTGGCTGTCGCATTCTCTTCCTTACCACTTTGTCACTGGACGAGCGAATCAGAATATGGAAGGATTCGCCGTAAAGGTGATATCAAAACTGCTATCCTCTCCATCCTCCCCGTCGAACCAAATCGTAGCCAATTGCACTCTTCTTGCTTGCGTCATGGTCGGGGTTCAGTTTGACAAGAAGGACATAGTTCGCATCGATAAAAGGTAACATTGACTCATTTGGTGCTTCTTCTGCTATGGCTAACAAAGAGATTGTGTAGTTCTGCCCTGCCTCAATTCATGGATGCCTTTTTAGCGAAGTTCCAAATGGTTCTGTGGGAATACGACAGAGGTGATCTCGACAAAGACAATACAGGAGTCACACGCAGGGCATGGAAACTCCTCGATGTCGTTTGTCTCATGCTTGAGCTTGCCAAAGATCGCTGTCATAGTAGTCCTTCATCCCACGTCATACGGAACCTTGACATGTGCACGAAGATTTATTCACAACTCAGGACATCCGAAAGAAATAATCCTTGGGAACTGTCAAGAGCTCTGCAAAATGCGCTGCGCTTCACGATCACTGCTGCGCGGTTCTCTCGGCAGCCTATCAACTTGTGGTATAACCATTATTTAGAGATAGGTGATTCTCGTTCGCCAGAAGACTTCGACTGGCTGGTGGACTACCTCGAGTACTATATTTATTCCGGTGACGAGGACACAGCATTTGGCATCCTTTTACTGCTGGATATCATGAAATTGCGCTGCAGCCCTGCTCAACAACATCGGTTCTTCAAGAGCCTCATCTTCTGCATGGACAGTAGCAGGCCTGTCCAATTACGCCATGTCGCTCTCCGCGCTGCTCACAGTGCCCGAGAAGAAATTGCCTCAATTGATGTCATTCACGATGTGGAGTTGCGAGAAATGATCTTGACCGAGTTATCCCCCGCTATCCTGACTTCGGTTTGTCCGCAACCAGATGCAACATTCTCCAACTATAAACCTGATCGCCTCTTCCATCGTGAGCGCGACTTGTGCTATCTCGAACTGCTCTTTGCCCTCGCGAGGAATTCCAACTGGCACCCCCATTTGTTTAGGGATCACCATATAGATCGATGCATTAGCATTATTGCAGAGTGCCGCTTCACGCGACATGCATTTTACCTGGCTGGCATCCTCCTCCGAATCGTACCTGAACAGTTGTCGGTTACATCACTCGATTCTATCACAGAGAAACAGCGGTGGTACATGATTAGCGGTGCATGGTCCCATGCCAATCTTATCATAATAATTGACGACGTACACTTTTTCGAGTTCCTTCCTGTTCTCGTGGAAGCCACGAAGAAACATATGCAGATTTCTTCTGAACCTGGTCTCAAGAAGCTCATCACAGATGTGGAGGATGTTCTCGAAGCACTGGAGAGTCGATATTCAGAGCAGGGAGAGGGAGAGGGTGTCGTCGTTGCTGTGAAAGAGTTGAAAACTGTAGCCAGCGATATGCTTGAGAAGTTGGTCAGCAGTAAAGGACTCAGTAGTCCCTGATTATGACAGTATTTACAAGCTGTTCTAGTGTCTTTGGACCACAGGGAGCAATGCGTGAGGGAATAAGGATCATCACTAAATCAGTCATATTTATCCATATATGTGTTAACTATGCTATACTACTCCTCATCAGTGTAGTGACTTTGCGGCCCAATTTTTATGAGCTGAACCCGTTAATTGATTGTACATCTGGGTTGGGTCCAAACTCTAGATACGTATTGATATTTCGATTGCGATGAATGGCGCCAACGCTAATATGCTGAAGTTGCCATTGATTTGTGTTTGCATCACACAGGCCACGCGGCTGGTCGAACAAATCAGCTTGCAAATCATATCTCTACTCATTAAAGTATAGTCAAATGTGTCATATTACAGATACCTGAGCTATGCAGATGACGACTCACAATTTCAAGTACTCCTACTAGTAGTTTGTCCCTCCAAAAGGTATCCTTCAGTTCTACCACTTTCAAAAAGAGATACTCTCCTAGTAACACTTTTATGCCTAAGGAAGCCCGACGAACTGATCAAACCACCTAAACACTTCGTAGTGCCATTTCAAACTATCCCAGTCAAAGCATCAGCTCATGACCGGCGTATAGAGCTGCATACATACCTATTCCCAGCGTTTAGCACCCAATGGTTCTCATCTGGGAAGATCAAAAGGCGACTTGGGACGCCCAACCTATATGCGTGTCGATCAGCATGAATCACCCGCTAGATGCGAAAATGAATGGAAACGATAGGCGCAAGGGAACAGCATATGAAGAACCAGAACGAAAAATAAAACGCACTGTTGCAACGCATGGAACACCGCAATCCCATCTCCTTCTGGGAGCCTGTAATCCTTGCTGCTATGAATTGTCAGCTGTGGGGTCGACCATTTAGCAACGGTATACGCGGGGCTGTATTTCCGCGAGGCTTCGAATGCGGCAGGCTCCCATGGACGTCCTCCCCATTCGTGATTGACCTTTGGTGTGTTAGTTAGTATTGCAAGGCAGGGACTGGAGGCGCACGAAGAATAGTTCGTCTGTGGCGTAGCCGTTGTAGGTTGTGTCGAATACCTATTTTATGTAGATGGATCAGTGTCTTCATTTGCTCTTTGATGCAACAAGAGAAGACGTACACCATCGTGGCAGACCAGTGCCTTGAACCCAAAGCCAAGCTCGGGGTTGCCTTGAATCCAGCTGGAAACGAGAATTAACACACAAGAAGATATCAAGGGCGACAACGAAATGACACGTACTTGATTGCATATCCGCCATAACTAGCACCAGCAGCTACTGTGCGGTTTTGGTCAATCTATACGCAGAAAAATCGACGTCAGGATGCGTTGAGGGGGAGGAAGACAAGGTGCAGAACCTCACCTCTGGGTATTCTTGAAGGATATACTTCCACCCCATCAACAAGTCTTGGGTGGGGCGGCCTCCCCAATTTTGATTGATGCCATCTGTGAATTCTAGTATATTGCGTCAGCACAAGAGCAGACAAGATAAGAGGGTAACTCACTCTGTCCAAATGAAGTAGATCCCGTTGGATTGATAGCAACGACTACATATCCCTGGCTCGCAAAAACTAGAGCACGCGTGGCCCAAACATTAGGTAACCCTTGCAAACCAACAAAAGGAAATCGTATACCATTGGGATTCCACCGCGTTGACCACTGATCAAACCAAGCGCTCTCTGGACCTCCATGAATAAGCATCACCGCAGGCCACTTCCCATTAATCCCACGTTCGAATCCAGGTGGGGTAATCACATAACCATGTGTGTCCTGCTCCTCAGCCGTACCTTTGAACCAAAAGTCCTTACCGGGAGAGAGATCTTTGCCCTGGAGCCCAGCAGAAGAGAACGAAGTAAGGCGCGTAAGCGTCATCGCCTTCACATCTGCGTTCATTCCTGCTAAGAGATTCTGCTCGACTGCGTCAAGCCCACTAAGCTCGTACACCTCATTTGGAGAAGTCAAACTCGAAAGCGCGAAGGTGGCTCTGCCACCTGGGATTGGCGTGAAGCCAGATATAGAACCACTGGAGGTGAGGGCTGTAGGTTGAGTGGTCTGTGTGGCATTGGAGGGAGGTGTAGGCGGGACAGCCAACGCAAAGACCTTGATGCGGGCGTGATCACCAGTGGTGGCGTAAATGAGGGCAGAGGAAGGGGAGAACTGGGTTTGGGTTAGCTGATTCGTACGATGACAAAACGTCTTGGAGGGACGAGTGAACCCGTAAGGAAATGACAAGGACCACGATTTAGGAGATAGGAACGAAGGTATTAAGGACAATCGAATGAGGATGAACTCACGATAATAGAATCAGGGGAGCGGTCCCAGTCTTCTGTGATAGTGAACCGGACGTCTTTCTTGAGATCGTAGATCACCACTTTCGCACTGAAGCATGTGAGTTGACAACGTGGGAAGTGATATATGGGTCAGTGAGAGGTGCATGCGTTGAATCAAAGTCAGAACAGTATGAGTCATATGAACAGGTCGCATGACCCACCGATCACTCTCGTGCCCATCAAGAGCCAGTTCCAGCCAGGCGACCTTATCGCCAGAAGGGCTGAACACGGGGGAGTGCGTCGCACCTTGGATGCCCGAGGTGAGCTGTCTGAGGTCATTTCCGTCATGCGTAACAAGGTGAATCTATGTGGTAGTGTGTTAGTATAGAAAGAGCAATACACGATTGCACGTACATTCTGCCTGGTGTGCACAGCCCTGGGAAGTTGTGGGTCCTTGGCAGTGAAGATAGCATGCGTTTTGGAAATATCATAGTCATCTGCCTCGCCGAACGGCTCTACAGGGGAAGACTAGCTCAAATCAATTTCACCGCCATCCCGAAGCGTAGAAACAAGCACTCACGAGTCCCGTCCCCTTCAGCACGTTCACGTAAGTTTCCCCCAGTACCCACTTCGCACCTACTTTTGCCAGACTGACACCAATGAGAGCCTTACTCTTGGGACCAACCCACGTATCCCACTGGCGCTCAAACGTCTCATCATACACCAGACCCGAATTGCCCCGATTCTCATACGCCGTGTCCTGCTCCTTCACAGTCTCAACGAGGCCATCAGGATAGACGTATGCGGAGAACATGAGGCGCTGAGCGCTGGGGCTGTAACGGAACGCACTTGCAGTGGTGATGGGAAAGGATCCTACGTAGGAGGAGAGATCGGAGGAGAGAGGAGAAGTGCTGATGGGAATGGTGTAGAGACTCTGTGTGTCATCTTTTGTCACGATGTGTGCGATGGTGCGAGAATCAAGCCAGAAGGCATCGCCGCCATCTGGCAAAGGAATGTCGTAGGTCTGACCATCGCCGAGAGCGATGACAGAGAGTGACTTATGGGACCTAGCAGTCAGGCAGTGAACATAAGTTACGATTATGGAAAAAAAAAAAAAGAAGGGGGAGCATACTTGCAGTCCTGAAAAGAGTAAGTGCTGACGGGTACGATAGCAAGATCACCAATATCGTTTGGCAGAGGCGCACTAGGCCGAGGAAGGGTGAGCATATCTCGTGGGGATAGTGCATTTGCAGCCTCGCTAAGGGTAAAATCTGGAGCCATCTGAGGAACTTGTGGGGCAGAAGCTGGTGGGATGGAACTGGAATATAATGGCACCTGAGCAGCGAAGCCCAGCTGCAAGAAAGGAAGTATACGCATCAGGCGTGAACTTTGAAAATAGGCTTAAGTATACTATGGTCTAGTGCACCATGGCCTAGACCTAGCTAATTCAACACGAAGTGCTCAATTTAAAGATGAATTATCACTCACGGTCACTTGGTGTTGTATGCAAACCTGTGAAAGCGACCAAGTATCATGTGTTCTCGTGGGTAAGTCTGTCGGAAACTCAACTTCAAGTCTGGTTGGCAGGAGTCAGCTGCTGAAGCTAAGTGTCAGACGTTCCACTATTTCTTGACGGAAGAATTCGACGCTGAGCTCCCTTACATGTCATGATTCCCTCTCTCGAATGCGTGGAAGGGATACTAGTAACAGGCAAAACCCAGGACCAAAACACTGAAATTTCCGCCATTTGACTTTGACTCCTCATACGAAGCCGCATGCCGAATTGAAAAAAGCACATCGACACCACTGCGCCCATTGAATATTGGACCATGGAACAATCGTATACTGTTCAACATTTCAACTTCATTGTTCATAGGCTATTTCTTGTGTTCCACAATATATTGTGCTTGGCTCATACTCAGGCTCGGGCCATTCTTGCTT